CATGATAGACAATTCATATACTGCGTTGCTTACAGAAACTGGGTCTTCGTGTCAATCTACACCTTCACTTGCTTCGACATCAAATTTTTCTTTTGATGCTATCGGCAGTGAGATAACTGATTTAAATTCGACTATACAAGCCGCAGCACCTGATAAAAACAACGACGCTTTCTTTTTTCCAAATTTAATAAAACCATCGAACTTAAAAAATCCAAGAAACGCCCGAGGACGAACTTGAAAAGTATTGCAAGGAATTCGTTGAAATAGACTACAAATTTAGTTTAATTGAATGGTGGCAAAGTAAACAAAATAAATACCCCTTGTTGTCAAAACTAGCGATCCAGATACATTCAATTCCAGCTAGCAGTGCGGCAGCTGAACGATCTTTTTCATTGGCTGGAAACATTATTACAGAAAAACGAAACCGATTGGAGCCACGATCAGTTGACAGTTTGCTTTTTCTAAATTCTTATTATAAAAATTATAATACTTAGTTTAGATTTAAGACTACATATGTACATTTTAAAACAAGAATATTGAATATTGCTGTTAATAGTTTTTTATTTTTTTATATGAATTAATTTTTAAATTTTTTTATTTTTTAATTTAATTTTTTTAATTTGAACCTAATATGAAAAATAAAAACTTGTTCATTTAATCCTCCAACTAGCAACTAGCCTTTTCATTTTATTTGTTGATCGCAATCAACTCGAGTATTTTAGTCTTACTCACAATCAACTCATTCACATCGTCCACTAAATCGAATCGATCATGATCGGTTCGAGATGATTGCGAGTTTGGCAACGTTCATTTCATGGACTCGAACACGAAGCAAAAAATCAGCATGTTGATCGACCCGAAGAGCGACGATGAGCTAAAAGAACTCAAAAGCAAAATGATGCACGAGCATGATTATTCTCCGAATTTTTATTTCGGGTGTGCATCACTCACAATCACATTTCTGCAGAATGAGTTGAGTTGAATTGAGCGAAATTTGGGCACGCTGATCGAGTTGACTCGATCATACTCGTTGCAGATCTCTGATGGATATTTAAATTGCATTGTTCGGAGATATTGTTAGGCTAGTGTAAACAAGAAGGTGCAAAAAGAGGCAAAATTATATTAAAAATTACCTAGAATCGTACCTTAATTGTTCTTTTAAAATTTTAACAGACCTTAAAATGTTCTTTGTAAAATGTAAAAGATACGAAATCTTTTACTGGAACTTCCAAATTACTAAAAGAAATATTTTATTCCGCAAGTTAATTTTAAATAAATTTTAGTGGCTTTTGGTTATTTGTGCGAGTCGACCTGGTAAATACTCAGATTGTCTATTTATTTATATAAACTTAACACTCAATACTAATAAGTTGCACAGAATATTTAATTCATACTTATGTTATGAATATGCATAGTATTCATAATTATAGTTATAGTTAAATACTGTAGATTCGAATTTTACATTTAATTTATTTTAACAGTTCAATTTAACTAACCAAAGAAAGATTGTTTTAGAATAATAAAACCAACTAAAAAACTTGCAAACTAAACATACCATGCCTATATAAACAATTTTCACTTTCCGCTGAAAATGGGACTTCTGGATTTGAATCCCAAATTATTATATACATTTATTTTGTCTTGTTGTCCATACCATACCTAACATACAATTTGATGCACTCTATTCTTTGTTCCATTCCCGCATAAATAGTTACACCTTTTTGTCGCGTGTCTGATGCCGAGGCTCCATCAGAATCATAATAAAAACCACCTAAACAAATCCCACTAATTAACAACAGAATCGCGGGCGTATTATCGCATTCAAATTAGCATCGGACACACCAGGCAAATAATAATAGACGAATAGGAAACCCAAAATGCATGGCAAAATATTTGGCAATTTTTATGTGGAAATTGCAGGCCCAAAAACAGTAGGTAAACAAGCGAAATAACCAAACAATGAAGGGAGCAGCAGCCACCACGATTTTGTGGGCCATAAATAACTCGAATCATTTGGCCCAGAACGACCTCGTCAGCAGGACACTCGAAAAATGCAACTGCGTTTCATTAGTCAATGTACATTTACGGAAAGGGGAGGTGAGGGTTGGCCCGATGAATAGCACCACTCCCGAAACAGAATTCGATGCTAATTTCGGGCTAATAAATTATACCTTTTGACAGTCATGCTTTGCCAATTTTATCTTTCGAGATCCTCACTGATTGCAATCGAGGTTTTCCATATTGATTGCTATCGGTGTTTTCCATACTGATTGCTATCGCTGTTTTCCATACAGATTGCTATCAGAGATTTCCAGGGATTTCGTGCTGCAGCCCACACAAGTCACTTCGCTAAATGTCTAGTAATTAAATCAGAGTCGAAATTAAGAGTCTAACATTTTTATAAGGAAAATCCCACAAAATCACCACGGGTCGTCCCCAGAACTCCTTGGCTATTTGCTCGGCAGGAGACGGATGGCCCGAGGGCAATTGCACACTGCACACTGCACACTTCACACCTCGTACCCCACATCTCACACCCCCACCCCTCCAGAATCTGCAGACCCTGGTCCAGAGAGCCAGACACATCCTGTGGCGCATGGCAAGACATCATCTTCGTTTCAGTTGGTGTTTGGTATTTGCTGTTTGGTGTCATTAGCGTCGGGCACTCGGAGGCGTCTGCCTTGGCTGGAGTGCCACCTGCCGAGCCCGTGCCTCGGCTGACGTTACAATTACCTGGTAATGCGATGACGATGACGACGACCACAGAATTACAAAACAACACCCAAGGAGCCCAGGAGATGTCACCTCTACGTGAGCAGAACCAGAGGAGTTCCTCTTCACCTGCGAACCGGTAGAGTCATCAATTTTCATTCCCCAGCTCTATATTGAGTTCCTTGTCGTCTTTGGGAGTTTTTAGCCCATGCGGTTAATCTAGTATTTAATAAAATATATCTAAAGAAAACTTGCAAGTGCGGAAAAAAGTCATTTGAGCTTATTTAAATGCGCTTTAAGAAGTCTATACTTGCAATTTTATGTTCATTTTTGATTGGCAAAACTACGAACAAATTGCTTACTGCTTTTTGTAATTCCCGGCGTTTTTATACCCTTGCAGAGGGTATTATAATTTTGGTCAGAAGTTTGTAACGCAGTGAAGGAGACGATTCCGACCCTATAAAGTATATATATTCTTGATCAGGATCAATAGGGGAGTCGATATAGCCATGTCCGTCTGTCCGTCTGTCCGTCTGTCTGTCTGTTTCAATACCGTTTGCGAGCTCAGTTTAAAAGCTAGCGATCTGAAACTTTCACACTCGTCCTAAAACATGTGTACGCAGATTAAGTTTGAAAATCGCACCGATCGGATGTCTATATCCTATAGCTCCCATAGGAACAATCGGATATATCTTGCAAGAATTGATGATATTTCGCGCAGTGTAAAAGCTATTGACATGAATCTTTCCAAATCGTATTTTTTTATGCATACATTGATCAAGGTAAAGGCGCGTGTCGATCGGACGTCTATATCCTATAGCTCCCATAGGAACAATAGGGTGAAATCGGTCCAAATTTGATGATTATCAGAATATTTCGCGCTGTGTGTAAGCTACTAACATAAATTTTTCCAATTCTTATTTATTTTCGCATATCTTGATTAGGGTAAAAGCGCTTGCCCCTCGAAAGGGTATATCTTAAAGGAGATAGGAAAAATTGTTAAGGGCTGCGAAAGTATCCCTTTTTTTCTATTTGTATATGACATTTTTGCAGTATAAAAGCAATTGACTTGAAACAATGCAAATCTAGTTTTTTTTGTATACCTTATTCCTTTCGCTATTTTTTCACTTTTAGCAATTTCGGCAAAGTCTGCAAGGGTATAAAAACTTCGGCTTGCCGAAGTTAGCTTCCGTCCTCGTTTTGTTATAAAAAATTATTTCGAATAACTTAATATGGCTAGAAAAATTGTTCAACAGCTTAGGGCTGCAATCCAGATATGATAGTGCCCCTGTTATTTTTAAACCCTCTGTGGATTGATTTATATGCTTTTAAAACTGCGTGCTTTGTACATACAAAAAATTAAGATCTTTAATTTAAAGCATTGTAAACTTTTAACATCTAGAGACTGTAGTAAGTTCGATCAGAACCCTTATATTTATGATACATATTTGAAGGGATGTTGGAAATAGTCGCCTTTTCAAGTAGTTGGTTCCCATTGAAGATCGGAGTATATTTATTGGATTACTTTGTCAAAGAGTGGAAAACAAAGCATTTTCACACTGCCCTGGGCGGAGACCCTTGGCCAGAAGCAGCTACCATTTCCCTTTCTTCCCGAAGACCAATATAAATCCAATTAGCACGCCTTTGTCTGATCTAGCACACATTACTGCGGAGAAGGGAAGGCGAGTTGAAGGAGCGGAAGAAAGGAAGCAAACGTATCGAAAGGAAGACGAGCACAATGGGAACTCTTAACACACTTCATCGGGTCGGGATCTCGGCGATATCTCAGGGGTCTCCGCCGAGGGATGTGCCCTCGCCAAAGTTTATGACTTGCGCACCTTTTGTGCTCACCATTAAACGCCATTAGCGGGCATTTAAGGATCGCTTTTCGGCTCTAATTTTCGTAGAGGTCGTCGAGGTTAAAACGGGGTTAGGGTTAGGGTGTTGTTCCGGCACACACCTAATCTAATAAGCCGCAAGCACGCAAACAAGTTCACGTGGGAAAATTGGAGCGCACAGAAAGAACCGCTCCTGGCGAGATAAACGTGGGTCGTCGGGATAATTCTGAGATGGGTGTGTGTGGGAAGTTATTTATGGATTGCCGCCAACTACGAACCGAACTGGCAATTGGATATGGGAAGAGATCGCGAACAACGCCCAATGTCAGTGTGCCAGTGGAATCGCATCAATTGCTGCACTTTATGTGACATAATCCCAGCCAGAACGGCGGCTATAAAAGCCGGGATCTGATGCCCCAGCCTCCACAGTCTCGCGTGGAGCTTGGCAGAATGTGGCGTCTCTGCGGGTTCGTTCTGCTCTTCGGTGGACTTATTTCTGGCCAGGCCAGTGAGGAGGATCTCGGCAAGGCTGTACCGGATGAGGACGACCCCATTGGGAGCAACAAGGAGCTCTCCGACCTGGTTATCACAACAGCTCTGGGCAAGATCCGCGGTACCATACTGCCCTCCCAATCGGGTCGCAATTTCTATGCCTTCCGTGGAATTCCATACGCCAAGCCACCGGTGGATAGCCTTCGTTTCCAGCCTCCAGAACCTGTGGAGCAGTGGTTCGATGTGCTGGATGCCACTTTCGATGGGCCCAAGTGCCCACAGCTGGGACTCATTAGTGGGGATGTGAGCGAGGATTGCCTGCGCGTTAATATATACACCAAGGAGCTGCCCAGCGAGTCGCAGCCGAATGTGCGAAGACCGGTGATCGTGTTCATCCATCCTGGAGGATTCTACTCTTTGTCCGGTCAGAGCAAGAACTTCGCGGGTCCTCAGTACTTCATGGATCGCCGACTGGTGCTGGTCACTTTCAATTACCGCCTGGGATCGCTGGGTTTCCTGGCCACCGGAAGCAGGGATGCCCCGGGAAATATGGGACTCAAGGACCAGGTGCAGCTCCTCCGCTGGATCAAGCTGCACATATCTCGCTTCGGAGGAGATCCCACTTCCATTACTCTTTTGGGTTATGGAGCTGGAGCGATGGCGGTGACCCTGCATATGGTTTCCCCCATGTCGAGGGGTCTCTTTCACAAGGCCATCGTGATGAGTGGAGCAGTCACAGGTCAGTGGTCTCTGCCCGATCACCAGATAGATGTGGCCACCAAGCAGGCAACCCTGCTCCATTGCCACACCGAGAACGTCACCGAAATGGTGGATTGCTTAAGAGGAGTAAGCTTATTAAGTTGCTTTCGAACTTTTTCCTAAAAAATTCTAATTCCCAGAAACACTATTTGGAGTACGCAAACACCTTGCCAAAAATGTTTGAGTTCGACAGGAACAATCCTCTGATTCTGTGGAAGCCTGTTATTGAGCCGGACTTTGGGCAGGAGCGCTTTCTGGTGGAAGATCCCATAAAGAGCTATCAAAACGATGACTTTATGAAAGTGCCCATCATTACAGGAATGACCAAGGATGAGTTTGTGGGCCCAGCCTTATGTAAGTAGGTCCAAAGTTATAGCTTCCTATTGAAAATGACTCTTTTGTAGCCATACTCCAAAGTCCTTCTTTGTTGAGCGCCCTGAATGAGAACTTCGCTTCCTTGGCCCCCGTTTTTTTTATGTACAATGAGAGTGATCCACGAGCGGGTAATATTAGCCTGGAGCTAAAGAATCACTACTTCCAGCAGCAGCCCATCGATGCTAACAGTTCGCTGGAGGCTTTGTCCAATCTCTACTCGGATTCTTTGACTGGTTTTGGAATCCATCGATTTGTGCATCTCGCTGCCAGGTCAACGAAGGTTTACTACTACCGATTCGCGTATCAGGGTGCCAGAAGTCACATTTATTATCCAGAAGATGCACCCTATGGGGTGGTTCACCATGACGATCTGATGTATCTGTTTGTGGAACCCTCGATCAGCCGTATGTTCACAGAAGATGATGATGAATTTCGCATGGTGGACATTATGGTCCGCATGTTCTCTGCTTTTGCATATAAAGGGTAATTGCAAAGTGGTAGGTGGTTAATTCAATTTCCAGCTAAAGGGCTTTTATTTCAGCGATCCCAATAAACCCACTGATTTGGCCTTGAGGGATATCCGCTGGCGTCCTTTCAGCTTCAAGAAACGGTATTATCTAGACATCGGAAAGCATCTTACTCTGCAGGAGAACCTCAATGCCGAACGCTACGAGATCTGGAAACGCCTCTTCCCCCTCAACTGGCGACGTCAGACCAAGGAAGTTTAAAGGATCATGTTTTGTCACAACTGTACTTTTCAAATACAAGCCACTAGGCATATTTATTTAAATTGCTTCACTTTGTTTTTTTTTGCTGCTGCTCAGTTGCCAAGTGACAAGCCAATTGGCATATTTTCAACTCTCCAATTTGATGAGCCTCCCCCTTAATGTTGTTTTGGGTCTTCGTGTCATCGCTGTGTGGGTGCATATATTATACGACAGTCGGCACCCGATAACAGCTCTACGTGTTGTGCATTATGGGTTGTCGTCGATCGCGTGCCATGAAAAGGCACTGTCAGAAATTTAAGGGCTTTAAATTCCAATGTTGGTCCGAAAAATGGAAATATATTATTTTGAAGTTTTAAAATATATTTTATAATATTTAACTTATTCTGAGTAGACTTTTTATATTGAATAAAAACATTGTAGGCACTGACATTCTTTATTAAAATTATGTTTTGACTTAATATTCATAAATATTTTTATCGCAATTCGTGGTTTGAAGTCTGTCTAATTCATGCTAATCTTTAAAATTATAAAGCCATTGAAATTTTTTTAAGACTTTCAAGTTTCAATATAATAAACTTTAATAGTTTTAATATACTTTATAATACAAAATTCAACAAAAAAATATAGAATATTAGCTTTTGACCCAAACTATGTTTTAAAACCTAACGAGAGTAATTTACGGACGTTTTGGGGAAAATAGGTTTAGTTTCTTAACAAATGGATGTAAAACAAATTCTATACATTTGTTTTAAGCCTAAGTTTGATTTTTAACTATTTTATTGTATATCAATATTTTGTTCATTATTTTATTTAAGTGCAGACCACCTCCGCAGAAGTCTCGATTGCTGCCACCGCACATCTGTGATGTTGAACGTGGCCTCATCCACTTTGCCGTTAGTGGGTCGCTCACAAATGTATTCCCGTTTTTATTGCTCTTATCGGAGTTTGGTTCCGCTCCAGAGCATGACAATGTCAGAAGCGGAGTCGTCCAATTCGAGTGGCTCGTGTCCTGCCCTCCGCTCATTAGCATAGCGGGTAACACATGACGCTCCCGATCCCGATCCAACCACCCATCCATCCTTCCAATTGGCAATTGAAGAGTCCGTCATGAGTCACGCCACGTCCTCGTCCTTTTGGTCCTGCGGGGGTGCCACCAGTTGGAAAAACTTTAATATATTAATTTATGCAAATTGCAAGGCAACCGAATGCGGTCGACTGCAGATCAATGCATGTCGGGGTTGCTCATTTTGATCGTTTTCACTTTAGTTTTAATTGTTTCGCTTGTCAGCGGAGCCAGAAAGAGATCAGCAATCGAGATCGGCAATGAGAGCATATGCTGCCGTCTGTGTGCCATAATTTGTTAGATGCCAAAAAAAAGGAGGAAAGTTTCAGGAGGAGTGGGAATGGCAGTGGGATTGGGTGAGCTCAGATCGGCTGTGGCATTCCAATTTCCAACGAAATATTTGGACAAGGGGCCAAGCGTCGCCGTAGATTTCGATTTCCGCGAACTGCCAAAGCGCAAATAAAGTTGTGAGAGCGCTGCAGACCCAATCCCAAAGCCCCCAGGGTCCAAATCATATCAGATGGGGCCCAGTCAGTTTGGCCAGAGGTGTCTGCGTTTCCTGCTGCGACTGGAAACTGTAGAGGTGTTGGCCTGGTGTCGGCGGCCACGGCCAGGTTTTATTGACTGATGGAAATCGCTCAAAGAGCAGTTGAATTTTCGCTGCGCTTGCTTGCCCACAAAATGTAATTAGATTGCCAGCCGAGGACTCCCATCGAACCGCAAGGCTGTGGTTTTCCCCAGGTCCCAGGAAAATACCCAAGACGCGTGCTTGGAACTCCTGCTGTCAACATCAGTGCGCAGGAATCTCGCCGAGTTGTGGCCAAGGCAATGAAGTTGTCTGGCAATTGACGCGCGATAAGCCCGAGAGACACAGTTCGAAACGGCGCGAAAACGGCCGAAACAAAGGCGATCCGGTCGCAAACGAAGCTCTGCCGTTGTCCTCTCTTACATAGAAAAATTTGCACAAACATCACAAAACTCATAAATAACAACAACAACGACAGCGGCAGCAGCAGCAGCAGATGAAGTTGCAACTGCAACGGCTACAACTATTGCATCCAGAAAGTGTCCACCTATGTGCAAACTCTACTCCTTGGCTATGAACTCTTTATCCAGCGATGGATAATGTGCCTTCCACTCCACAATTTATGAGTCACTTGGCAGCCTGTGTTCGGCCGAAAGCTATGCCAGGCATTTATTGGGTTAAGTTCAGCAGATGGAGGCATTGACATATTTTCATCGACCAGAGGGTGTGGGAAGTCAGATTGGAAGTGGATGAGGTGCAAGTGGGTTGGGAAAAGTTGGAGGATTCCGAGTGATTTTAAATTCGATTACAATTTGACTTTAATTTTTGTGAAAATAAAGTAGATTCGCACAGCCATTACTCGATATGGTATTCAAATATCTTTCATTTATAAAAAGTTGAAGTTATGAAATTAGGACTGTTTAATTGAATGTTTGGAAATCAAATGTTTGTTAATATAACTCATTAAAGTATATTATCATGTTGTGCAAACTTTCAAAAGCAAATAAATTTTTGATTTATCTTTGAATGATTTATTGATGTACGTTATGGAAAACTGGTTATGCACTGATGCACTGATAAATGATCACGAAAATGTATCCATTTGTTGTATTGTTTGAAAAATTGTATTACAGTTTATGGGATAAACTCTGAAAACATACTAACTTGTCCCAAATTATAACGTTGTAATTAAAATTTGAAGTAAATGTTTTGCTATAAAATGAATTTTTTGAGAATTTTATGATTTATGGAAGATTTTATTGATTTATTAATGATTTTAATATTTAATTATTCAATTAAGATTTTCCTTTTTGTCAAGTATTTTTTAAATATTAGTAATACTCAGTGTTTTGCACCGAAATCCGTTTTGCCTTCTGTCCAAAGTCTACTACTTAAAATCACCCACATAGGTAATTACCACTAGGAGCCCCTGACTTAACCACTCTGATAAGAAAACTCCAGGCATGTGCCTCATGCTGGCATTATTCGAGTTTATGGTGCATGGCATGCACCACCTCCTCCGACTTTCCCCCGAAATATTAGCATAGGGAAAATAGGAAAATGGAAAATATGAAGAGTGAAAAACATTTAACAGACAATTGCGTGCGGCGTGTGGGCGATCCATCAGCAGTCGATGGAAATATGCTGATAAGCTGGCGAGAAAGCCATTAGCAACGGGGTGGGGGGCTAGGTGGAATATCCTGCCTGAGTTTTTAATAACTGTCATGATCCTGCGGCGCCGCTTATTGGAAACCATTTGAAGTGGCAGCTTGGAAAAGTCGCGTGCCGATCGCAAGCTGTGTCCGCCTCATCCCATCATTATCATCCCATGCTGTGGGCCAGTACCGATGATCTGTCAGTTAGTCTCCCCCATTTCATCTCCTCGGATGTCAGATATCTGTGAGCCCTGTTTGGTTGTCTCTTGTCATCGCGGCATCGGGTTTCAATAATAGTTTTCGTTTTCTGCAGCTTTCGACTTGCGATGATGGATCGTGTTGCACGGTGTCTCGCTTATTGACTAACTGACAGAGGGGTGGATTGCCTAATGGGAATCCCCTGACTCGAGAACCTTTCATGGGGATCTGAAGTTTTATGAGCCTTGAAAGCCCTCGCATTCCTCAGCCCTCCAGTTATTTGTTTTATTCTCCTCTACTCTGCTTTTCCTGAAAATTCTCCGATAAACTTTAATGAGCATGTCAGAAATTCTACTGGTGGGCAGTAGAACCAACTAATCGATGACAAATTGTATTCTATCCATGTGAAAGTTGCAGCTCTGATTGATGTTGGAGAACCCAGACTGACTGTCAACAGTTTAGTGGATCGTTTAGCTAATTGCTCAATAACATACCTGCTGTAACCAGTCGATGGAGTTCATTAGAACAAGTGCATCGCGATGCGCCGCCGGCCCACAGAGCATTTTCATTTCCATTTCCCAGATTCCAAGCCCCGAATTCGGACTATTAATCACACAAAATTGTAGCACAAAATACAATTTCATTAATTGTGGCCAAAACACACTCGCAGAAGGAAAACCACACCCGCATGCCACTCAATAGAGTTTCCCACGAGTTCGGTACCGGTTACTTCACCTCCAGCTCCCATTTCAGATACAGTTGCTCCGTTTGCCCAATGTGCTCTGTTTGCTCTGAAGCCCTGACCCTTGACTGGCGCTATATTTAGCCCACACCCCCAGGTGGCTACCGAGGAGGAGCATTAGCCAGTGCGATCACGTAGCTTTATCCATCCAGCACAAGGTGCCGCAAGGTGATGAAGAGTTGGGCGTCCCATCGCCTCGACTGCAATTCACGTGAAGACAGCTGCCGCAGAAGCAGCCAGAGGAGTACATAGATGCAGCCGCATTCCGTGCCCTCATATTGTAGCTCAGTGTCAACGTCAACCACGTAATCAACTTACAGGAACCCATTGCCAGGCCAAACACTCTGCACTCTACACTGGGAACAAACAAGATGTAGTACAAGAAATCGCATTTTCAAGTGGTACAAATTTAGTACCTTTAATAAAAACAATTTTCTTTGAAGAAATAATTTTTAAATTGTGCAAAATTTTAATAAAGAATAATTTACTGATTAAAATCAACACAAAAGTAGCATAGTATGTCCTGGAAATTTAAAATAATTGTCTGACTAACACGAACATTTTGAGTTGAGTTTAGATACTACATGACCTTATAACTTTGCTTAAGTACAAAAATAGTTTTGTAAGGTTTATAAACCGGTAGAATAATATAAGTTGACATGCAAAATGTTATTTAATGTTGCCCAAAAACTAAAAACATATTTTTAAGATAAAATTTACTGAAAAAGACACAACAATCCGAATGGAAAATATTCTGGTGTCTTATGCTGCAAATAAATATTTGGGAATATGATGTAGAAATGAGCCAGTAACAGAATATTACATTTGTTTTAACAAAACCGTAAAATTTCAATGAATAGTTCTCTAAGTTAGTGGATACATATAAGCATTTTTTGCCAGTGCACACTCTAGCAACATCCCTTTCATGGACGGCAAAAAATTGCAACAATCCGCAGAGGCAACCCCCGAGTTCAGGACCAAGTCCTCCGAGCTATCTTCCCTTGAAAAAGGGCGGAGGGGAGGGGAGCGGAGGGCAGGGTGTCCTGGGCTCGCTAATGTTTGGTTTCATTAGTCCTGAGCGACAAATCAAACAGTTTGTGGCAGTTTGTTTGCTGTATTTTTTCCGGCATCCATCCGTTGTTTACACTCATTAGTTGGTCCTTCTGGCATTCGGTTTATTCCTGGTTCCTGCCTCCTGTATCCTGAATCCTGGATCTGGGAAAGCGTCGCACCCTTGTGACAACTAGCATACGTTGGAGGGCGCACTGATTTCCGATTTCGGTCGATTGTTGAGGGTGCCACTCTCGGATGTTGTTTCGTTTTCATTATTTAAAGCACATTAATAATCACATCTGACAACAGCAGCCGGAATAGGATTAGAGGCAGGAGGAGGGGGGAGTGACAGGAGTCGCGTATCGGAAAACTGCAAACAAATATTTGCAAAGGACACGGAAGAGGGGAAGTGGCACTTAACGCGCTTGTAATGATTGCGACTATTTGGATGGTTTGCCCACTTGGGTGGCTGCGCTTTTTATGGCCTTCGAATTGGGTGCAAAAGATCGCAATCTCAACCGAAAGTGGGTGTTGCACTCGATTGATTTGTGGGTAGTTTTTCTATGGTATTTCTAAGAGTAGAAGGGTCGATTATGAAATATCCACGAATTGACTTTGATTATCATAAATCTGGAGCGAGGGTGGTCCTCCGCTCTGTCCCCTAACATCTCTATTAACAACAGAGCCCAAACATGCATAATTATGATTGCTCCGCTCCTTTTAACCGACGTGTTTCTGTCGCCGGGTCTTCAAACAAAAGCGACAACGATATATCGGAGCGAACAACAAAAGACACTCAGGCTGCGACCACACACAAAGCAGCTTGGAACTTGGAGTAGCCTGAGATAGACAGCGAGACAATGGGGCACTTTCTGTGTGGCTGGCTCATATGTGAGCCGTGTATTTTGGTTATCGAATAATCAAGTTGTGCATCGGCCCTCGACCCCCACTCTCCCCAAAACTAAAACGTGGAAAAAGGGGAAAGACAATTAATTTTAAGGTCGTTTGATGTGAACACTTTCACCCAAAACAAACAGATACGAGTGTCCTTTTTCCAGTCGCTTTGATGTCGGTCGCAATAGCCTGGCATTTGCTGCAAGTGCGGGAAGGATCGACCAATCATTAATCACAGCGATTTGGATTTGTATAAATATTTAATTAACCGCAGAGCAGGGTAGGAGAAGTAGATGTCAGATTGAAAGGCTGCCTGTCGAGATCGTAGGCGCCATCGAGGTGGGGGAAATTAATGGAGTTGTTGGGAAAGTGAAAACTGATTTCCAGGAGAGACTCCATTGTGGTCAAAGCTCTGTCCGAGCAGATCCTTCCACGAATACCAATCAATTGGTCTGCCTTCGATCGCAACCCCACAAACAAACCAAACCGAACTCACTTGAGAAGGGCAGCCAAAATAAAATACTTTCGTGCGTGTTGTCCAACAAAGTGGCCTGAGTCTTCCCAGAAAACATGCATAACAAAGCGCTGCTCTGGTCGACATCGCCCTGTCTCCCGATGGAATCGAATCCTTCCCCACTTCCCAACCGGCACTCTCAATTTGTATTGTCATTAGCGATTATGGGCCTGCAATCGGCCGGGGGCGTAATCCGATATGTTGACAGAACGCATAAACGGGGAACGAGCATTGCAGACAGGACCAGACAGAACCGCTGACAAGCCTATAAAGCATTCGATCCTTGGCGCTACTTCAAAATGTGTTTACTCCTTTTGTGAGCTCAATAAAAACGTAATCAAACCCACAATGCGAGGGGGTTGAGGGGGATGATGATGATGCGTCACAAAAAGAGCAAGGATCGGGACCAGGCCAGGTTTTCCATCGAAAAACCATGGCGCAGGCGTAGCGAAAGTGAAATCGAGACGCTGCCACAAACCGAATCGGCAGCTGGAACACCTTCGCATCATCATCATCATCGTCACGATCCCATACCCTCACCTTTGAGATCTGTTTCTGTTTTGTTAGAGGCCCACAATGAACCAGCCAAAGTCAAAAGGGGCACGCGCTCAACGCTCAATGCTCAATGCTCGATTCTCGATTGTGGCCTAGACAGGAGACATTGTGACTGATCGGGGTCGCATCCTCGATCCTCGATCCTTGGACGATCGGTGTGTTGTCTAGACAAGCCGCAGACACAAGTTTAATAGACTTATTGTAATTGAGTCACAAAAGCCACTCCATATCCATTTCCACTCGGCACACAACTCTTTCCGCGTTTTCCAGCTGCCAAATACGAAAGGTGTTCACCCTTTAACGATCAATCTCGGTTGAAGGGCGCAATTTTATGTGTTAATGTTAAAGAAAATTTAATTAAAATTTGCAAATGTTTTGCCCATTTTCATTGTCATTCATGTCATGTCACCAAATGCCAGGTCATGTCGGGGACTTTGTCAAGTTGACTTGCCCACCTTTTTGTGGGTTATGTATGTCCCAAAGGGGAATAAGGCACAATGCGTATACTTAGTCAACTGTTTGCCTTTGCCCCTCATATTTCTATGGTACAAGTTAGCAAGTTAATTTTCCATATTTTCTTTGGCCCAACTTTGCATGTCTGTGTGTGTGTTCTTTGTGGTTGTGAGATGGTTAAACTTGGAACTTGACCACAATGAGTATGAGTGCTAATGAGTGTAGAGCGTGAAGAATTTCTTGTTCTAAATTTGTCATTGCCTTAAAGAACTCTACCCTTTAAACATATGTTTATTTGCAACTTTAAAATCCACTGAAAATAATTATTAACCATGGTGAGTAGTCTGTCATCTCTCACCCAACCACCCCAAAAAAAGGGCGGGGCAGGCGATAATCCTTTTGTATCCCATCGCATTGTTTGGCAATTTTACGCAAGAGCAAATCGTAAATGTCAATAGCAGCGCATCTGTGTAATGGGATAAGACCTCCGATTTGAACGCCGGGGGAGGCTGGAATCAGAGCGGTTTTGTTTTCACATGTGCCAACCTGACAATTACAATAATTCAAAGCTCAAAAGGGTCAGAGTAGCTGGGAACCGCCCCCCAAAAAAACCGTGCCAAGTCAGAAACATTTAAAGACAAATTAATGTGTATTTAAGCTGCCCCAATCCGCTCCAGGCCAAAGACTAATTGCCCCACGGAGAGTAAGGCTCACAGTGGAAATGGGAAAAATCTCACGCCTTTGTTGATTAATTAATCAAAGTAAATAGTTGCAAGAGCGAGCCAAGAGCAAACTCGCTAAGCGAGCAAACCTCTAAGGTCATTAGCGTAATCTAAACGGCCTATTGATAAGCTTTTTCCACACCTAATTGCTACATTAATTTTCCGATGAGCCGGGAGGCCACACCAGTGGCGACGGCGACTGCCACGCCCACTTTCCAGGCAGCGCCTCCGCTCCGGGCGGGCGTGGGAAACAGTTCGTCCCAGACGGCATATCGATCGGAGTAGGCCAGAGAACCCACCTGGGTCACCACCCCGTTGTAGAGCATCTTCAAGTCCGTCGCGTTGCAAGGCGGCCATAAATCGCTAGTATTTAGGGGTGTCCTGTAAAGATGGAACAATTTAATCGATTTTATTGTTTACCATGAAAACCATATGTTTTTAATTGAAATTCCAAGACATTTTTCACAGTTTTAATAATACAAAACCCTTATACTTTAAGTTACTTACCCCGTTTTGGCAAAGTGTGTAAGCCAGCTGGTTAATCGCTCCATCATGAAAATATCCGTGTGATTTTCTGCCATAATGGAGCCATACCAAAAACCTGGCATCACATATTGCAGATCATCAGCATGACCCACTCCCACGGTCTTATTTTCCTCATTCAGAGGAGCTGAGATACTTCGCTCACCCACGTAATCCGTGCGCATGTAATAAACTGGAGTAAAGTTTTTGGCCAGATGGACCAAACGGTGGACACCATGCCCTATGATTCCATCGGAAAAGATCCTTCCGAATTTCTCAATGTTTTCAGAGTTAATACCAGTAGTACCCAGGTAATAATCCTTGAGTCGTTGACCAATGATTGCATTTTGTTTGTAGAGAAACAACTCCGGAGCATACTCCACAAAGTTTGAGTCAAGGTCGTGAAGTAAATGATCGTTTTCCAAGTGAACTTCAGAAATCAGTAAAATTATTTATAAAATATATTTAAATAAAATTACCCCTCACCTCACCATTGGCTGTGTAATCCAGTTCGTTGGCCGTGTAACTGATCAGTAAAGGTACCTTGTTGAAGTTTCCCTCCTCGATTAGTTCCGTAGGATGCGTGAGTAGAAAGTGCCCATCGACCTCGTAGTTCCACTTCATGTTTACAAACTGATAGGTTTCCCATGCTTTGCAGACTTCCACGATGCGTGCCCAGGTCTCATTCCGTAGACACTCCACCACATCCGTGGGATCATACATGGGACATCCCAATTCACGAGCCAGTTTTCGTGTCCAAAAAAGGTTATCTATACCAAAGAGATTGGTGGCCGAACCGCTCATGAGGATTGCCCGATGGAAGAGACCTATGGAAAGGGGCGAGGCCAAGTGCAGACTGACTGCCATTGAGCCAGCACTCATTCCCAAAATAGTCACCATATCTGGATCACCACCGAAGTGAGATATGTGATCTCTTACCCATTGTAGAGCCATCACTTGGTCTAGATAGCCGAAGTTTCCCCTCGTATCGCTGCTATTGGTGCTGAGAAATCCCAGGGCTCCAAGGCGATAGTTGAAGGCCACAAAAACCACATCGTGATCTAGTAAGTATTGAGGACCTGCCTCGTAGGTGCTGTGTCCACTTCCCAGGACATTGGCTCCTCCGTGGATGTAAACGATTACTGGTAGCTTGTCCTCAAAGTTCTTAGTAAAAACATTTAGTTTAAGGCAATCCTCACTCATAAACAAGGTAATTCCTGGTTGTGGACACACAAGGGCATCGGATGTTGCCTTGAAGACCTCATCACCCCAGACTTTTTCAGGAAGGGGATTGGCAAACCTAAGCTGACCCACTGGAGGTTGTGCATATCGTATTCCTCTGAAGGCGTAAATTGTCTTGCCCTGGAAACTTCTCATTGTACCTCCTTGAATTTTACCCAAGGAGAGCTCTACCACAGGATCATCTCCAATAAAAGTCACACTTGTGGTTAAGCCTATTGAAATTACAAGTAAAATAGAAATAACCTGAAGCAGACAAGCCATTTTCGGTTTTCTACAAATAATGGAATAAAGTAAGGATCAAAAATATATAGATATAAATATTCTATTTCAATCATACCAATGAGAAATGCTCTGTGGGAATCTTGTGTGGTTCTCAGAGTCCGCTTATGTTTTCGCAACAATTTTATTAGTTTTCCCCTTTTTGGTGGTGCGCAGTGCGCACCCGCATGTTAAGAGTATTTCAGCGGAACTGCAGGTTTCGCACGGTTTCTACTTCTTCGGTTGGGACTATCTCAAAAACCACTTAGAGATAACTTGATCGATTAGTTGGTCAAGATTAAACTTCGTGTTGGCCTGAGTTTGAATCAAAATAAACAGAAGATTAGACCAACTATTTCGTTCTCTCTCAATCTGTTAAATCATGACCTTGTACTTTAATTACTGAACTCCAATTCAATTGAAACTTATTGCTTCATTGAAAGATTTTGTGTTCTGTTCTGGATTTGGGTTTGAATTTGGGTTCGGCTTTGGCAGCCGTTAGACACATCACCCTGATTTGCACCACCGATTGGTAGTGAGTCGTGGATCGGATCCTACGCCCGCAGATTTTTTAGAGTTTCCAGTTTAGTTTTTCTCATGCCAGCGACTGAGATTTAAATTGATTTCCTTATTAATGCACATCCCTCTTGTAATATTCAATTAAAACTACCCACGATATAACAGTTCCCTTGATTGACACAAGCCGAGTGGTAATTACTCGAGCTCTGGGAGATTTCGAGTTCTCCTTTTCAGTTGGATTGAAAACTGAATATGATGGCGGCGAAGGAAATCCCACAATGACCTTTTTGAAATGAATTCCCTTAATTGCGACTGCTTTTAATTGTGCCAGGAAGTAGATGTAGATGATCTTCAAATCCAACCCACAATGAATATTAATATTCCCTCGGAGATCACATCTCTCATTGCCGCAAGCCAGTGAAAAAAAAAAACAATTTTCACACATCGCCGAGTAGCGTAACTCGAAATTGAAACAATTTGCGCTCCCCAAAACGAATTTGCGACAATCTGGTGCCGCTCCTGAGGAGCGGAGCTCAATATTCCGGACACTTGAGTGCGCATGTGCACACCGCAGCACCACGGGAGGATCGCAACTCGGAGGAAACCACCCTGCCCATCCCAGTTCGACCTGGTCGGAGCCACTCGAGTTGTTGCAAATATATGAGTGGCCTCTTGACAGACATAGTCGTCGTCATCATCATCATCATCATCGTCGTCGTCGTCGTGGAAGCTCAAACTGTGCCACTTGAGGGCTCTTTGTGTACCCTTTGTGGCAGGCTGCTGCAGCTTCCTGTGGCTTGATGACGTCGCCGGGCAGCTCCAGACATGCAAAAATTTCTCACGCATCGCGGACAGATGTTGTGGGGTTAAGTGGGAGATTCTATTAAGTTTTCATGGTTATAGAATACCAGATTTATGAAGTTATATATATCATATCTCGACTGAATTCAGATATGTGATAAAATAATCTTTCTTGTTTAACCTTATAAAACTGTTTATACCAAGATATATTAGATTTTCATAGTAGTAGCTTCTATTTACTCTTCATGGTTATAGAATACCAGCTCAGATTGATCGGGTAAAATATCTAACATCTCGAACGAATTAAGAGATAAATTATACAAAATCTTCTCGTAGTGCACAAGAATGTAAACCTTATCAAAATGTTTATACCAAGATCCATTAGATTCTCTTTCTAAACTCTTTAAGTCAGCGGTGAACAACACTCTAAGTCTTTTAATTAACTTTATATTTTCAATTTTAAGACATGAGTTATAAACTGATTACAATTACTACAACTTTTCTAAGTTATTTGCCAAAGGGTTTCTAGAATATTTGCACTCACCTAATATTAAAAAACAAAAAGTTCATTAGAGCTACTAATTTGTAATAAACAACAAGAATCAATTGTTTTAATATCAATATTGTTTTACAATTTCAAGATGTGGCAAGAAATGTGGCTATTATTAATACAAATGTCTCGAAAATAAGAAAGCTGAACTTCAAACAGTTTCGATAGAATAGCAATGCCAAATATCTTTCGTACAACATTTCCGAATTAGCCTTCCCAGCTACTTAGCTGAGGTCACGCCCTTGGAGGTCTAGAGTCGCACCCCCAAAGGGAAATTAAAAGATCGATTTCATTAATTCCGCATATGCGAAATTTTCCTGCAGCTGCCTCGGAGAACACTAGAAAAACCAGCCATGCTCAGCCATGCAAATTCGCAGATATTTCAATAATAACCGGCTCAGCTATTAGATGACATTCCGAATGGAAACAGTCGCAACTCTCAAGTGACCAACATGCAGGCCTCCTTGTGGGTTTCTTTGCTCCAGGAGAATGAAAGAAACGCCACGCCCCTCGCTGAGTCGAAGGGCAATTCCAAATCCAATCCAAATCCCATTCACAGTCCGCAGAACAAAGACGAGGGAAATTCAAGGAAAGCAACAATTGCCGCACACGATAAACCACTTGAGTAATCAATCAAAGCGATAGGGAAACCCAGACGTGGCCGTCTTGTAATGAATATTTAAAGATGGAAATTATCGCAATCCGACAAAGGCGAGGGGCAGGACAAAGGGGAGAGGTCTCCGGCATTTTGCATAACTGATAGCGGAACAATAGACCAATATCGGGGAATGCTTTGCATACTCGAGCATACGAGCATAATGCGATAATTTGAGCACAAAAGTGCCGGCCAAGGGTTCAGTTTGGCATTAACATCTTGCTGCCTCTAATCGCCGAGTGCAGTAAGAACATATTTCTGTAATCAATACGGGGGAAAAGGAAAATGAAAAGTTCTGAGAGATCGCCGGACTCGCTGAAGTGAGCAAATGCCCCGAATGTGAAACAAATAACAAAAAGCCCTGAAGGACTCGCAGGATCCGAGTGGAGTATTACTTCTAGGGTTGCCCTCCTCTCCAGACCTTTGTGGTATTGTAATCAAAGTGACGTCTTATTTGCGCCAGACGAGGGTTAAGAAACGCTCGAGTTCCTGAAGAAAGGGGTTTTACCTTCCTTACCGTCCCTACAATTTCAGTTTCACACTATTGCTCCGCGATTGTTTGGTAAATAGACCCTAATTTCTAATAATTTAAGTGATCCAATCATTAAACAACAATGTAGCCATACAATTTATATTCAAAGCAAAATAGTTTACAATCATAACAAAATAATACTTAGTTAAATATGTTTAAATATGAAAAAAAATAAACAAATTTGAATACAAAACACAATAGTTTTTAATTACTACTTTATTTCTTTCAGGAGGACAGCAATATGGTTTTATCCGTTGCTATATTCAAACTTTATTAACATGATTAAGTAAATACTATTGCCTATCGAAAAACATTACTAGATGTTCACAGGCAGATATCTCCGAGATCACATCAATTTTTATAAAATGGAAATCGAATGCAGAGAAAAGTTTAAAATTATTGGCAAGCCTTTTAGGAACTGGTTTTAAAAATACTTTACTATTAACATACATTAAAACTATATGTTTGAATTTAGTTTATATTCTTTTTAATTTATTCGAATTTTCTATTTTTTTTTTTATGCATTATTTTTATTTTATTTTATTGATATTAATTAAATTCTGAAAATGTAAGGTTAAGTAGATATTAGAAGGACTTTATATTCATGAAACTTTAAAATTCCAAAAACCGGTTGACTACTTAATAATTCTTTGGCAATTATGACCATTAAATGAAAGCCTCTTACTCCATAAAATTAACAATGTTTTTTATAGCCCTAACATGCCAATAAAGTGGAAACTTGAAAGCAAAAAACTCCTCCTACTCAAATTTTCGGGTTTTACAATAGGAATTGATGTGCCCAAGGCCTAGGGCAAACCTTCAATTGGTTTCGGTGGCAGTGGCTCTACCCCCAATCACAATAAACAAACTCGGAAAGGGCTAAGTGAACCCTAAAACGAAAGTTTCCTCGGACATGAGATCGGAATATTTGCCACTTAATTGAGATTAATTGAAGTTATGTGCCCGATATGAATAAACAACTTTGCAGCCATTTTGTTTATGACTGCGTTTTATGTGCACACAACACAACACATCAGTTCGAGGAGTATAGCACTCCGAAAATATTATTAATAATTACAAGAACGAGGCAATGGCACCCCGAAAATAGTTATAGAGCCGAACCCTCGGCAGACGAAAATTTGATTAAATTAAATTGAGTGCGACGGAGTTTGTGGAGCAGCGGAAGCCGGGCATCAGTTCGAATTTATACCATATACATATACCATACACAACGCAAATCAAATGCTATTGAGCTGACTCTGCTCTCGGCTTTACCCCCTAATAAAAGATCTTTGGCGATCCCGAGGTGAATGCACTCGCATTCTAATGCTGCTGCTGATGTTGATGTTGATGGTAATTCTTGTGTTACGGATCTTCTGACTGCCCCTTAATTGGTGGATTGCTTTGGCTGCTTTGGCGTGCGTGTTAATAGCCATCGTTCGTTGTAAGTCACAACTAGCAATTTAAGCTAATTGACATTCAAATGCAGTTGAATAAACTTTTTGGGCACTGGCTGTGTTGCTAAATGATTGTAATGGGACTAGCTCAGGTCGTTGCCTCCTATACTGGCAGTTTGAAACTAATCTGTAAATTCATTTAGGGATTTACAACACCACAGGATCGTTCATCATCAACCCCATCGACAGATCGCGCCCATCATTTATAAATTGCCGCATCGAATAAAGGCAAACGCTTGAGTAAATCCACTTAATTGCCGTCTGCCTGCGCGAATCACGGGTCCTTGATGTCCGTGAAATACTCCTGGAAGCCCGGCCTTCGCAATCAGTCGCGAATAAATAAAGGAAAGGAGAGAGTTACTCCACCGTCCGGATGTGTTCGCACTCGTGTAAACATGCGTTTGTCATTAGACACACCGGAAATATTGACAGCATTCGACACGCGGCGCACGACCAGCCGGAATTCTGCGAGAGGAACTTGCCACTTTATTTGCCATTTGATTTTTTAAAATTGTAAAATTTTTCAATTCAACTGCTTCTCGATTGTTTTCCCAAGTTTCGCTTTTGCGCTTGAGTAAGCAGCGTTAGATCTTCGAGGCTACCCTGGCCAGAGGATCGGGTGGTTTTTTATTTTGTGAAGAGGGGTGTCCTTGTCCCTTGTCCCTTTCTGTATCCCTGTACGTGTGTCCTTTGTCTGGGCATCTTTGTTTGGGCTGAAGTGTCGTCGCCATGTCGAATTATCGTGTTTTTTAACTGAAGTACCTGAAATTTTACAGTTTAGACTTTGGGTTTTTTATTCCACCGAGATAGAGAGTTTACTAATTACATTTTATTGCGTAGCGCGAATCGTTTTGTCGCTTGCGGCAAGTGTGACAAATCTTATATTTTTTACGGTGTGAAGATTTGCCAGGAACTGTCGATTTCTTTTCTTGGCCACAATTTATTGCGACTTTGATTGCACATTCGAAAATTATTTGCCCTGGATTCTGGGAAATTGTTTTAGTAAAAGGCCGCTAAATGCCACGCGTTTCTAAACAATCAAAACAATTCCGGGGCTTGTAGAAATTCCAGTAAGGACAAGGAATGCGGGTATCTCACTATGAATTGTGGGAGAATGTTTGTTGAAATCATGTAATCCAATGCCTTAATTTCCACAAACACAAAACAAATGCAAATAATATGCACGAGAAAGAATTTGGGCGAAAAAATATAAAACGTGGGAAAATATGAAAATATTTTGTTATGGCTTGTAATCCTTTTCATATGCAGTGGAATAGTGGACAATGAGGCAGGGACAATGGATCAGTGTGAAAATAAATATTCCCTAGATGTAAGCCCATTAACAGCACACACACCTGACCTCAACTCAACTCAACTCATTTGACCCGACCTCAGTTTGTTTGGACAGATTAGTGAGCCAAGCTACTTAGCCGACGATCGGGAGATCACTTGTCCGAGCGATTGGGCCTGGTATTTAGTCCCGAATTTCGGTGAGTGTTTTGAGCCGCCTTTACATTTCAATTTTCCGTTTTCAGGGACCACTGTCCAATGTCCGATGTCCGCTATCGAGGGCCTGCGATCTCCCCTGTTTTAGGGCCCCATGCGGAGTGTGAAAGGTATTATCGCATTGACTCGATCTCCAATCGCCGCGTCCCTGGAGTTGTTGTCGTTTATGTTTTCAGTTTCATTTATCAGTTTGTGGAAATGCCAGATGAACAATGAGAAATTATGAGACTTGCTTTAAATCATTTACAATTTAACATTGCCATGATCCGATCCTGGGACTTGTACTCACACGGGGTTGTTCTAAGTTGCTCATTGGCCTCCTTATCGGATCTCTGGGATCTGGTATTAGGATTTTCTCGTCGTTAGTTGCCAATTGAATGATTTCCTATATGCGGTTTTAATTGCGGCAGCGCGGAGTTGACTTTTCCTATCCTCTAACTTTCCAAGGGAAGTTCCACTTAATTAGCTGCGAATTGTTGTTCGACTACGAGTCCGAGATGCTCAATGGATGATAAGCTTCCGGATGAAAAGGAAAGCGGAAAACTTTCTCAGCTCTCGGCTAAAGAGAGGGGTTGTATTGAAATAAAGCAGCGTAATGATCTGACAGATCGATGACTACCAGTCTTTATGCCGGGTATTCGAAAGTTTCCCTTAAGCATCTGGAATATAAAAAATATAAAATAACATTTTGGTGGAAAACAGGCCATGTAAACTAATTCGGTTTTTAACCATTGTATTAATGACACCAAATGTTTGCTTAGAAATTTTTTCACTTCTCGACTGATACTTATAAAGTATATAAACTTACAAATTTGTTTGCAATAGGCTTTCCTATTAACTTAATATTAACTTAATATATTCATAATCATTAAATACGGCTCTTAACATTTCGATCCGAAAGGTTGTAAAGTTCAGTGCGTGAAAAAATCTCTTGAGCACTCACATATTGTGAATGTCCATGGCCATATGTTTGGCAATCGCTTTAATCCATGGCCAAATCCCTTCAGACCAGAGCCATCTATCCTATTTGTCTGCCAGGGGCGTAACTTCCCACGACACCGCAGACGAATAGGGTAGATGCGGAATTTACGATGACATTTATGCGTAATTTTTGGTTGAATTTTATGGCCACAATCGGACCGAGTTCTGATGGGGAAGAAAAGAGTTCTACTTTCCACACATCCCCCGCAGAGAGAGTGTCAAATAAATTTGATTGGAAAGTGATCTCTCGTAATTGAAATGGAACAGTTAATTCCGGGCATCATTAAAGGGCCACACCCACCTTGAGTCCGGGAATCTGGGACCAGGTAGGATGTCCTTTCCCGGCAGCTTCATAATATGCAACGTCATGACTTTCTTCCGTGTCAACGCCTCTCGATCCCCGCTCGGCGCACCCTTTCCCATTGTCAAAGGATTACTCCTTTGAGTTCATATCGCGTGCTACGATCCTGATCTTTGGGCGACTCCTTGCCAGAAAGGCGCCGCGGGTTGCTCGCTCAGTTCGTGTCATAATTGCATGGCTTTAGGTTTGATGTGGAAGTGTGAAAATTATGGAGTTTCCTCACCCTTTCGGCATCTTAATGATTATGTTTGTTTCCTTTATCTCTGACTTAAGATCGCCGAGGGGCCCAAGGAATTTGTTTGCCAACTTTGCTTCATTCATATGCCTGAGTTATGACATTTGCTTTTGGGTTTCTAGGGGTTGGTTTCCTTCACAGGATTTCTTCCTTACGGTTTCCGTTTTTTGCGTGCTAAATTGTGTTTTACGATCAACGTTTTCCCTGATCTCAGCTTGGAGATATAGCTATCCCGACATTACGGTTTTTTTTGCAAGCGTTTAATTTTTTATCGCCTTTGAGATCGTGAGAAGTATTCCGTTAGATATACATTGCCTCATGAGAATGTTGCAACCATCTATTGAATTTAGGAATAGTTTAATATTTTAAATAAATTTTGATAATCGATACCTTTTAGCATCAGACTTAATCATACTGACAATAAGATGTTTTTGGAATATTAATGAAAAATTCGTTGTTTAAAAACACAATAAATGCTCAAAATTATAAACAAGCTATAAACTTTATCATTCCTATTTCTTTCGTTTTGGAACATATATTTTTATAAAAAGATTTTATCACTAAGTTTTGTAAATGAAGCAATCGTACATCGCCGTACTATTTATTTCTTTAAATATTATAATTTTATAATACAATTTTTGGTTTTAGTTGAATTTAAATTATTTCTTGACAGCAAAGGCAAAGAAGAATTTTATTTGAGCTCAAAAAATATTCAATCATTTGATCGTTTTGGATAATCAAATCAAAGGCCTTTTTAAATTTAAAGATTGTTAAGAATGCCTAAGATCTTGTTGATTTTAAAGCCTTTAATTGAGAAACTGTCAATGTTTTTTCCCAACCAACTCCATTTTGTTTCGAGCTCTTGTTTGCCCTCCAACCATTTCACTTTGTTCCCCATTTCCCCATTCCGAGAGCCAACTCCAATACGAGTGTAAATAGGCCCGACCACTGGCATCTGCCAGTGACTGTCGCCAGGTGTACCCATCAGAACTCATGCCATGCCAGATCCCCATCCCCATCTCCATTCCCATTCCCCATTCCCCATCTCTGATGTTGTAAACTTTTTTTCTGAACTTAATTAGCTTTGACTGGGGTTGGGGCCCGAGTTCTTTGCCAGCGAGTGCCCCAAACCCTTGTTTTATATCGTACAATTACCCAGTGGAGCGCGTGCTGCAACCGCAGGTGCTAGAGCAGCACAGCACTCGATTCTCTGCCCAAATGTGAGTACCCATCTCTTAGTTCCCAGTTCTCCCAGTGCCCTATTCCATTCCCCATCTCCAGCTGCTGGTACTACCAATCAAACCTGCTCGGGAACGGGAACTCTCCTCGTTTCCCAACTCGAGTCTCGGATAAAGCGGATAAACCCCACACAAGCGCACAAAAGAACTGGAATACGACGAACCAATGGCAGGCCGCATTCAGTTCGAGCAACCCTCGTGCGATTCGACCGCTGGCAACTTAACTGTGCTGCGCAGAGCGGGCCCAGTTAGTCAGCCTTGCGCAGTCGATGCGAACGGACGCGTCGCTCTAGGAAAAAGTAGCTAGAAATAACACACATAGGAAAACCTAAAGGAAGGGAAAACCAAATAAACGTGACCGCGTGTGAATTAAAAGACGAAGAGAAAACAACCGCATAACAAAATGGTATTAAACGGCATGCCCATCACTATGCCAGTTCCCGTGGCGATACCAGTTCCCATGCCCGTGCCCAGTCCGCCGGCCACAAAATCATGTGTGGCCATCGACTGGGACATCAACGACTCGAAGATGCCGTCGGTGGGGGAATTCGACGACTTCAGTGACTGGGCCAATGGCCACTGCCGGCTCATCTACTCGGTGCAGAGCGATGAGGCCAGGAAGCATGCCAGCGGTTGGGCCATGCGCAACACCAACAACCACAACGTGAACATCCTCAAGAAGAGCTGCCTGGGAGTGCTGCTCTGCAGTGCCAAGTGCAAGTTGCCCAATGGAGCAAGTGTCCATCTGCGACCCGCCATTTGCGACAAGGCCCGAAGGAAGCAGCAGGGCAAACAGTGTCCCAATAGGTGGGTTTCCAGATTAAAAAAAATCAATCATTGGAATATCGAAAACTAACTAGTTACTTCCTTTGTTTCCAACAGAAATTGCAATGGCCGCTTGGAGATCCAGGCCTGCCGCGGCCACTGCGGCTATCCAGTCACCCACTTCTGGCGAAGGGACGGCAATGGCATCTACTTCCAGGCCAAGGGCACCCACGATCACCCCAGACCCGAGGCCAAGGGATCCACGGAGGCCAGACGCCTGTTGGCCGGAGGACGACGTGTGCGCAGTCTGGCCGTGATGTTGGCCAGGGAGTCGGCCCTGAGCGACAAGCTGAGTAGCCTAAGACCCACGAAGAGACAGGCCAAGACTCAGTTGATCCAGGAGAGCAAGCGCCGGAGGATGGTCGAAACGGAGGTGTCCCAAGCCAATCAGGAGCTACTGGCGACAGCCGGCTATCTGCCCACATCCACGCCCACGCACAACACCAGTTTCAGCCAAGCACAGGGATCGTATGGCGGCTCTGCGGGATCAGGATCGGTGGCAAGTCAGTGGAACGGAGAGATGTACTACGAGCCAGAGGGATCGGCCTATGCCACTGGAATGTACGCCTACGATATGCTCCACTCGCCCCTCTCCGCGCACAGTTCCACGGGCAGTTACTACCAGGAGAACCTCCCGCAGCAACTGCAACATCAGCAGCAGCAACCGCAGCAACTCTCCCCGCAGCAACATGTGCCGGCCAACTATGATCAGCCGATCCCCGCGAGCTTCCAGTGCGGAATGCCCTTGTACGAGAGCTGCGACGACACCTCCAGTTTGACCAGCAGTTCGGGGTACAGCTCCGAGGATTACGGGTACTTCAACGGATACCTGCCCAACTCGCTGGACGTGAGTAATGGAAGCCAGAGCCAGACGACTGCCAGCCAGGAGGGCAGTTTCTACACCACCAGCTCCGAGATCTTCAGTGTGTTCGAGTCGACACTGAATGGCGGAGGAGCCAGTGCGGTGGATCTGCTCTATGACGAAGCCACCGCCTACCAGCAACACCAGCAACAGGCCAGCTTCCTGCCCCTCGCCAGCTACCCACAGGAGCCGCAGGATCAGCTGCAGTCCGCCGACTACTACTACAGCAACTCGGGAGTGGACAACGGGTGGAACATCCAGATGGACTCCACATATCACTCGGTTGCCAGCTCCGATCCCGTCTACTGCTAGGGGATCGGGATGAGGAGGAGGAGGAGCCTGCCCTTTAGATCTCTCACCGCAACTACTATTACTGAGCCACTCAAGCGTTGTTCTAGTCCCTAGTTGAATCCCACTCATGTTCCCATTGCTTGTTGGTCCTATTATTACGTATGAAATATTGTATTGAACGTTTCTAGTTTGTACTCTTGTACTTGTTTCCCAGCTATTCCAAAGTTTTAGAGCGTGTAAGAATAATAATTATATCCTTTAAGAGTAACCATATAGAGTGTTAAGACACATTTCCCACCTATTTATGAACTTTTGTGTAGTAATAAACATTTTTTGAAAAAACCTGAATCGTAGCAGTCTTTTTGTTTTGGTGTCAGGCAAGGGGAGCCTTATGGATCAGTATAAATTATCTGTCGTCGAGTCAACACTTACAGATATTCCAAAATAAAATAAAAATAACAAATTATTTAGTAAACATAAAATTGGTAAAAATGGGCAGAAATTTCCCTAGAGAAGTAAAGTCAACGCCGTCAGTCAGTACGACGGTGAGTAAGGCGTTTGAAAAATAATGTGTAAGCATTCCAAAACGCTTTTTATTTTTTAAAAGCCTCGTGAGACGGTCACTCGAAGGAACAGGCGGAGAAGAATGAACAGGGCACGAGTAGTGCTTAACCCCCCAACAGCTGGTGAATTCGTGCCCCACGAAGGACCTGCAGCGAATTCTGCTAGGCAGCCCAATCAACAGCAAGGAAATCCAGTAAGGATGCGCCGTCAACGGTTCGTCATTGACCGTCTGCGTAGATATCGTGGCGTTTCCTTAGAGTTCGAGGGTGAGCGATTGGGCACTGCCTTGTATAACCTCCGTAGGTCGGCCCTCACACGGAATGCCGTGCTATTTGAGGTGAGGACTATTAATGATCGCTGTAAGTTTTACTCTATCAATTTCCGGCTTTGAAATAGTCTGTATTTAATAATCCTCACTTAGGGCATTTCATATTGAGACCAAATAGGGAAGTTCGGGGCGCCGATGGAAGTTCCAATGATCAAAATCTTCATCCGGATGTTCAGCCTACCAATGAAAATGAACAAAATCCGCATCCGGAAGTTCAGCATACCAATGAAAATGACCAAAATCCGCATCCGGAAATCCAGAACGCCAATGAAAGTTCCAATAATCCAAATCTGTATCAGGAGATTCAGAACGGCAATGAAATTTCCAATCAAAATCTGCAGCATGAAGTTCAGAATGCCAATGAAAATTCTAATGACTCAAATCTGCAGCAGGAAGTTCAGAATGCCAATGAAAATTCTAATGATCCAAATGTCCAAGTTAAGGATGCAGAAAGTTCTCAAAATCTGCACCGAGAAGATCCAAATAAGGAAAATTGACCTTTGATGATTTTATTGATTTAAAGTACTATCCCATTTAGACATGTTCGATCCGCAGAGACAATACCACATGTATAACTTGTACTACCTAACTTTGTACGGGAAAATAACGATTCGAAAAATAACCATTGACGAAATATTGATTAATAGTACTTGCCAATTTAGACATGCTTGATCTGCAAAGATATTTCAACATGTATCGTTTGTACTTCATAATGTTCTAAAAATATGTTATTCTCGATGAGTTGTGTACAAAAATCGTATTTTCCCATTTCCTTTTTAAAATTGTTAATAAAGTCTTTTGTTCTTGTATTATTTCCACATTCTTTGGAAAGTTTTTTTTAACCAACGAGCCTATAAAATTAAATTTAAAATTCCATATTCAGCGGCAATCAAATCAGGGGCTTATTAAAGGGGTTACCTCCTGTCAAAGGCCACTCAAATATTTGGATATTGTTTCTGTATTTTTTTTAAACCGATTATAAATAATTAAAAATATAAAAAAAAAGGTCGGCCAGAGTGAAGGGGTTGCAAGTTGGCATTGGCAAGAAGTACTCGACCCTAATGGGGGTTTGATATCGACCATAAACAAAACGCCCATTAGTTGTCATGTCGCAGGGAAAGTGTGCCGCTGACGCGTGCGACCTTCAAGGATATTCGCACACTCGAAATGAGGAAAAATGAGGAATGACTTTGTTTCAAACGATATTTGCATATATAATTCGAGTGCGGCTGCGCCGTACCCTTGCCTAAATGAAAACATTTAAAATGTTTTGATTTCATTTATGTTAATTTCCAGCCATAAATCACTGCAGAGCGTGTGCTTCCTGTCGAGCCAGCCTCCGTGCTGCAACAATATTTGTCCTTGCTGTTTGATTAGCCCTTAGCCCTAACCCTCGCATGCAAATGAGAACTCTTTGGAGTCGCTGACTCCGCTGCTCACTTTTTGTTATATTTGGGTGCCGAGGGGAGGAAGTTGAGATCACAAAGGTATTATGCAAATTTACTGCTGCTGATCCCATTGTTGCCGGTGTAATTCAATATTCGCGTGAATGAATGCGCGAATCCTTTGCCTAAGTCCTCATAGGCTGAGGTTTCGCAAACTCTCGTTCGCAATTTTCAAAACTAATTTCAAATGCAAATGCGATTCGGTGCCAATTTGTTAATGCAGATTTTCGCACACTAATGAAGCTAATAGAGGTCTCAATTTAGGGTTAGATGCCATATATTGAAATATCTTTCTAGAATTTTTAGAATCAACAAAATTCATATTCACTCACATAGTTAGGCAAAGTTTACACTTTTATAATATGAATATTTAACTTAAAATATTATCTGTTGGTAAGAAATAATCCCCTAATGACAAGCCGCTATGTAGTAGATAGTGATTATTATTTATTAGGGATTATTTATTTATTTATTTATTATAAATGATAGAAATAGTTTACATAACAAAAACTAATATAGAAGGATATAATAATAGCTAAGACTCAGGTAATTAGCTAGGGTTTATAAAAATGTACCTATTTCTTAAACTCATTTCATATTTTAAATAAATTAAACTTGTCGCACCTTTTGACTTTTATTTTAAAATTTTTTAAAAATGTTAGCTCTGCCAATTTTGTTCCAGTTTGATAAGCCTGCTGGTTGGAAAAGGTCAGGTCAGCTCGTCACTCAGCTGTCTACCAGCATTTGACTGACAGACTTTTACAGTTGACAGACACCGAAGAACTCGAACTCGAGTGTGACTTTTTTGACTCTTAACACATCGCATCATAGGTCGATCAGCGGAGAAATCAAAACCGCAGCTGCAGCTTCGGGGAAAAACGATTAACTATTTATTTTATAGTACATGCCACATGAAACGGCGCGTCAAAGGCCACAAAGGCGTGTTGCCACAATAAAGCGCATGGCAATGTGGCGAAATCTCATCCGAACCTATTTAGGAGTGGCCACTTGAAAGGACAATGGTATCAAAGCAAATGAGGCGCGCTTAATGCGGCTTCAATGAGTCCTGGACCTCGATCCGAGGAAGCGACCTGAAAAATGCGAGTGACATGCGTGTCCCGCAAATCGTGCGGCCTGTTAATAGTGCAACCTCAAGCGGGGTGGGTCATTCAGCGTGACAAATTCCTGCAAACAATGTCAGTGGAAAAATCATAAAATTCGGTGTCGGGAGTGACAAAACCATTTTTAACTTTAATTTTTTGGTTTTTACTAAATAACTGAATTTTAGGTAAGTACAAACTAAAATTAACCGAGTAAAGGTATACACAAATGTTTTTCACCTACACATTTGTTTAAAGGAAATTCATCTGGTCTAAAAAGAGAAACGGATTACTATTCCATTCCGGAAAGAAAGTTAAATTACAAAAGGTTTATTGTGTATTTTTAAACAAATTATTAGTATGAAAGTATGAAATACAGAGGATGTATTTGGTTGTCCGATTTTGATTAACACATCTGATAACATTAAAACTGGAATACTAGTTTGGATTGGAAATGATGGAAAGGAGAAAGGATGAACAGACGGACACTGATGATACTGATCATGTATACACTTATTATGGTCGGATACTGTAAAGCGCCATCTAGTTGTGAAGAACCCCCTTCTAATAACAACTGCTGAGTTTACTTACTCCGCAGTTAGCGGGGATCTGCACCGGAGATACCGAGTTCATCCACAGTTTTATTCCCCTTTTAAAACTTGAAATACCATCATGACGCCGGTCTTACATCAATATTAACGGTTTTAACAGACATCAATTTTATTTGAAATACGTTTATATTTTTTTAAATTTCTTAATTTATTTTTTATATTGATATATATCAATTCGAGATGGAAAAACTCGATGCTCATTCGAGATGGAAAAACATCGATTATGGCCGGCTAAACATCGATATCTCGGATTTTTTAAAACATCGATGTTGGCATCACTATTTCTCCATTCCACTCTAGTGCAACAAGTTGAACAATTGCCGCATCGTTTTTTATAGCAAATCAAACGGTGCAAGAACAAAGTTCAATTGACAAAGTAATAGATAATTAGGTAAAAAGTGAAAAACGAATCCAATCGAATTACGACTGTGCAATGTCGGCAACGAGATTTCTGAGTGCCGTTGGCCAAATTTCGCGACAACAATTGCTGCACAATAAGTGCACGAGAGGTGGGTAATTACCGATTTTATGGAGATCGGAAAGGGAAAGCAAGAGTTTTAGGTAATAATGTAGTGTAGTTTTTGCCAATGGAAGTACCGATCTAGCGGTATCTCTCTATTTGGAGGGCCGCCCCCGATGCCGCATAACTGGACTTTGCACTTTGTACTCTCTCTTGACGTATGTATAGTGCCTGTCTCTCGCTTTCTGCTTTCCGATTTCGAGTGCCGTGAGATAATGACCACTAATCGTCAACCGAACTCGTAACCCCTTCCCCCCGCAGCCCTGCCCGTTTCGGCCCATCTTCTCCAGAACCGCCGCCTTATGTCCACGACTCCCGCTCCGGTGGCCAACAAGCACCTCCACACCAAGGTGGTCAATGGAGTGCTGGTCATCAAGATAGACTCCCCCAATGCCAAGGTCAATTCCCTGGGCACCGAGGTGAGCGACGAGTTCGAGCGAGTGATCAAGGACCTGGAGACAAATCCTGCTGTCAGTTCGGCCGTTCTGATCTCGGGTAAACCGGGATGCTTTGTGGCTGGAGCCGACATTGGAATGCTGGAGGCCTGCCAGACTGCGGAAGAGGCCACTCTGATCTCCCACGGCGCCCAGGTGATGTTCGACCGAATGGAGCGCAGCAAGAAGCCCATTGTGGCCGCCATCAGTGGCGTCTGTCTGGGCGGAGGATTGGAACTCGCCCTGGCCTGTCATTACCGCATCGCCACCAAGGATAGCAAGACTAAGCTGGGTCTGCCGGAGGTCATGTTGGGTCTCCTCCCCGGCGGTGGTGGAACTGTGCGTCTGCCCAAGCTCACCTCTGTGCCCACCGCTCTGGATCTGGAGCTGACCGGCAAGCAGGTGCGCGCCGATCGCGCCAAGCGATTGGGAATCGTGGATCTGCTGGTGGAACCCCTCGGTCCTGGACTCCAGCCTGCGGAGCAGAACACCATCGAGTATCTGGAGAAGACCGCCGTCCAGGTGGCAAACGACCTGGCCAGTGGCAAACTTCGCGTAAGATATTTTTAGAGACAATTACACACTTGTAGATGTTTCAATTCTGGGACACATAGAATGGTTTATAGTTAAATTACATTACTCACTAAAGTATTTAAATGGCAAATTTCTAACAAAATTCGTACTTTCTAAAATATTTTTACAAACTTAATTTGCTATACCTAAATTTATGCAAACATATCTTTAGAGTAATCTTATTTTGATATATAAAATATCAATTCCATTTCAATCAAAACGCGATTCCGGCCAGGCTTTTAAGATATGTTTATCTGATAAATTTAAAGGCTGTTTATTAAATTTTTTTTAAGAGTTATGTCCTTTAACGGATTAGTGAAATCAACATACACCAACTTACAACATTTTTCTTACAGGTAAACCGCGAAAAAGGCGGACTGGTCAACAAGATTCAGTCCTTCGTTATGGACACTGACTTTGTAAAGAACAAGATCTTCGACACTGCCAGGAAGCAGGTGCTTAGAGCCTCCAATGGTCTCTATCCCGCTCCCCTGAAGGTTAGATACTGTACAAACTGTTCGTATAATTATAAGCTAACCTATAATCCCAAACAGATCCTCGATGTGATCCGCGCTGGCGTGGATAAGGGATCCGATGCAGGCTACGAGGCGGAGCGTAAGGGCTTTGGCGATCTGTCGGCCACCCCCGAGTCCAAGGGTTTGATTTCCCTCTTCCGTGGCCAAACTGAGTGCAAGAAGAACCGATTCGGCAAGCCAGAGCGTCCGGTCAAGACTGTCGGTGTTCTGGGAGCTGGCCTGATGGGCGCCGGAATCGTTCAGGTCTCCGTCGACAAGGGCTACCAGGTGGTGATGAAGGATGCCACCGAGGCGGGTCTGGCTCGCGGTATTGGTCAGGTGCAGAAGGGTCTAGAGACGGCCGTGAAGCGCAAGCGGATCTCTGCACTGGAACGCGATCAGACTTTAGCCAGCCTGTTACCCACTCTTGATTACAACGACTTCAAGAACGCGGACATCATTATCGAAGCTGTGTTCGAAGACATTAAGGTCAAGCACAACGTGATCAAGGAGTTGGAGGCAGTTGTTCCCAAGCACTGCGTCATTGCCACCAACACCAGCGCCATCCCCATTACCGATATTGCTGCCGGTAGCTCACGGCCCGAGAAAGTTGTCGGCATGCACTACTTCTCTCCCGTGGACAAGATGCAGCTGCTGGAGATTATCACCCACCCAGGCACCTCCAAGGACACCATTGCCCAGGCCGTGGCTGTCGGCCTGAAGCAAGGCAAGGTCGTCATCACCGTAGGAGACGGACCCGGATTCTACACCACCCGCATCCTAGCCCCTATGCTGTCGGAGGCCATAAGGTTGGTGCTGGTTTACTTTACCCTATGGAAATTACTATTTTATTAAAATTAGTTCATGATCCTTAAATCATCAGTACTTGATATCCTTGTAAAGCGACTTTGATCTTTAATTTTTATTAAATTACTAAAAAATTAATGTTTTTATCATCACCAAGTAATTTTCATTATATAGCCTATAATGATTTCGATTAAACTAATATTATTCGAATTTCCTTTTCAGACTGCTGCAGGAAGGCGTGGATCCCAAGGATCTAGACCAGTACATGAAGAAGTTTGGTTTTCCCGTGGGCGCTGCAACCCTTGCCGATGAGGTTGGCATTGATGTGGGCTCCCACATTGCCGGGAACCTGGGGAAGGCGTTCGGTGATCGCTTTAGCGGAGGCAATTTGGAAGTGATGAACGATCTGGTGTTGGCCGGTTTCCTGGGACGCAAATCCGGAAAGGGCATCTTCCTGTACGATGGCCAGAAGAGAGGAACTCGTCCGGTGAACAACGATGCTCTTGAGATCATCAAGCAGAAGTACAGCCTAGTATCAAAGGGAGCCAACACCCCCGAGGATCTGACGCTGCGAATGGTGTCGCGTTTCGTCAACGAGGCTGTGCTGTGTCTGGAGGATAAGATTTTGGTCAGTCCGCTGGAGGGCGATGTGGGCGCCGTTTTCGGCCTGGGCTTCCCGCCATTCTCCGGGGGACCCTTCCGCTGGGTCGACCAGTACGGAGCAGGCAAGCTGGTCAGCAAGATGCAGTCCTATGCCGAGCTGTACGGAACCCCCTTCAAGCCCGCCCAGACTCTGCTGGACATGGCCAAGGATCCGGCGAAGAAGTTCTACCCCAAGACTGGCTCCTCAAAGTTGTAGATCCGATCCAATCCGATCCCAGCCTCCGATAAAGCCGCCAACAAAAATTAGCTTTTAGTGCGAAGAAAGGGACAAGGTTTGTCCTAGTGCATTTCTCTCAGAAGGAGAGCATTTGTGGTGCACCCGCTCCCTAGAAAATGGGGCAAGGCCCCTTGTGAAACATCCTTTGTTGAAGTTGTCGAGTTTATAAATTAAAGTTTACCGTGTAATTTTCCATACTCTCAATTGTTTATTATTTTACACAGCAGTTTGATTTCCTTCTTTCTCTTTATTGTTATTTTGTTTACTTAATCCGGACAAGCTTTGTACATCGATTCAATAGTTTAAGCTTTAGCAACATCATATATACAGTTTTCTTAAGTTTACGCTCTATACGAAACTGACAAGAAGCTCCATAAAAACCGTGTTTGTAATTCATAAATCTCCAAAGAATTGATTTGCACACATTTATAAATACAAATAACGGTTTTCAGGGATCCCTGGTCTGCTTCATTTAGAGCTTAATGGCTTATCGGGCATCTCCTGTTTTCACATCCATTCGTGTTCGATACCGATCTTGTTTTTATTATGTTTAATTTAAATTTGAACAGAAGTGAATGACACGTAAGTTCAAATAGAAAATCAAAGTTTTCGGGAAATCGAAATCGAACAAAACTCGTTAGTGTGAAATCATTTAATGCCCATATTTACTTACTCATCTGATTGAGCGCACACAACACATGAACAGTGAGCGGACTATAGTTGGCTTAGATACCGATAGTAAAGGCATCCACTCCAACTTCAGTTCCACCTTAAGCTTCTAACTAAACTTATCATATTTCTAGTTAAGGATTAGTGACTTTCCGTTCCTTTTCCCATGCCTTCATTGTTTTCGCCAATCACGTCCAGAGCTGCGCCTTTGATGCTTCACAGATCCCCCATTGCTGCTTCCTCCACTGCCGTTGACCACGTTCGCTGGTCCTCCTCCGTTGCAGTGCTCCTGGGCGGGATAACGGGTTACGACGTCATCGATGAGCTCCAGAATGCCAATCTTGAACTTGCGGCGTTGCTGGGGAGTAAGAGCCGCCAGATCTGGAAGGATGCTGCGAAAGAACTCCATGTCCGCAAGTTCCGAGGAACTCAATCCGCCGTAGAAACCTCCTGCATTTGTCATCGTGCTGGTGGCCTCGCATTCCGTCTTAATCCTTTTGGTGCCCGGTTCGAAGGACGCTGGGTGATGATCCATTGCCAGGGCCAGGGGATGAGGATGTGGATGTGGATGAGAGTGCGGATGGTAATGAAGGGGCGGCGGTGTGCCTCGCCCGCTATCGTTGTAAATGAGCTGTGAACCCGTCTCGGCCAGCTGCACATCCGGAATGAAGTTCTTCATGCTGTCCGCACTGGCCGTATCACTCCTGGCAGGCGAATCTCCTCCGCCCCTTTGATGGGCGTGGGTGCTGTGGGTGGGCGTGGACGACAGATGCTTCAGACCCAAGGTGTTGGTCACCGCCGGATCAAAGGCATCGATGGTCTCCTCATCGTCCTTCTCCGATATCGAGTACTTCATCTCCAATGCCTCCTCCATATTCTCGCTATTATTACTGATGTTATTATTATTATTGTTGGTCGTTGCGCAATATTTGTGCTCCTCGTGGGCATGGATTGCTGGGTGGAGCAGGTGCGGCTGATGGTGGTGCAGGTGTTGCTGGGACATCTGATACAGCGTGGCCAAACTGTTGTTCCCCTCCAGGGAGTTTCGACTTGACTTGAGGAAGGGCAGCAGGAACGCCATGTGCTCGGTCAGGTAGTAGGGTTTGTGCTGTGGCTCCGATCCGTACTGTTGCTTTATGTAGCGGGAAAGGCAGGCGCGTAGGTTGCGCCATCGCTCCTTGCAGTGGATCACTAATGTATACAGACAGTTCGGTCAGTTAATATGGTTAATGTAAGTGAAATCCGATTTTTACTCACCACTTTCACGCGTCTCCTTGGAAATAAGCACCCATGCTTTTTCTTGGTTGTCCCTGTAAAGTTAAAATAAGACAAATTAATGTTCGAACTTTAATATAAAAGTGATGTATAAATATATATAAAAATTAAATATATAACCTTTAAATATATTGGGAATCTGGAATAAATTTTTTAAGTCACTGCAATTGATTGGTGTTACTATCACTAAACCTACTTTGACTTTAGTCGTAATGGACGTGATTCTTTGGAAATTCCAGTTTTGATTTTCATCAAATATTACTGCTTTAATAAAAACTAACTTAATAATCTGACTCTTTTTAATATTTTTTAATCAGGAAATTAATACTAGTCATTGATATAATCGTGTTTAGAATTATGAGTAGTTTAGGGGTTTGTATTTTAAGCCTAACTTTTTAAGTCTTGGTCCTTTTTAATTTGAACCCTATGATATTCTAGATGAAAACTAGTATGATCTAACGGTTTTTGGTCTCACCTGTTGCGGTACTCTGGCACCTTCTTATCGTAGAGACATTTGTGGGTGCGCACCAGGTTGACAAAGCGGATGTTGAAGTCCTCGTCCGCCTGCATCACTCGACTCGTGGAACCAATGGTGGCTCCTGGAGTTCCGGATTCGGATCCTGTTGGGCTGTGGTGGTTGTATGTGGTGGTGCTGGCTGAGGTTCGCTCCTCGCGGTCGTTGTTGTGGTTATTGTTGCTATTTGTGTTGCTACTGCTGCGCGTTGAGGTTGTCATATTCGCAGGTGGTTTCGAACTTCACACAGCCTGAAAAGCAATTGACTGTCAATTAATTGGTCTTAAAAACTTGCAAACTATTATGAGTGATTTAAAAGTCCTTCAAATAACTAAAAAAGTGTAGCCATCAATTTTGCGATTTAAATGACTATCAGGTTGCACATCTAGACTTCGAGAAATAGAAACTTAAAGTATCGTTTGACACTCCAATATTTGATTTTTAGACTTTCCTATCCATATTCCATTCCTATTTATTTACGAGCAGGCAAACAAAGAGAATGCTCTTCGACTCTTTTTCAGCTTTTTCGCTTTTTGTTCTGGGGTTTTGTGTTCGGTTTCTTTTCGTTTTGTCGTGTTGTTTGTTTGTGTTGGTTTCTGTTCTTTTCTGTTGCTGCTGTCTCAGCAAACGACGAATAGAGCTTTTCGCTCATATATATTTCGTGAAACTTAATAAAACATTGTGGCCGACTTTGTTGTAGTTGCTATTATTTTCAGTACAGTTTTGCAAGCTGGAAAGCAGCGAGAAAACGGGCGACATTGCCGACGTTTCAACGTTGATGACAACGGCGAAACGGCGACAGCCACTTTGTTTACTTTTCATATTATTATAGCCACAACAGCAACAATGGCAGCGGCCATAAAAATAACAGGCAATTTGGCTGTTTGTGTTGCTTGTTTTTGTTGTTGTTGTTGTTGTCTTTGAAAGCCCGAAAGCTTTCGGCTGGTTCACTGATAACAGCAACAACAGCGAAAATAGCAGCAACGGCAGAAACATTGTAGCAGCAACCACTGCAACAGCAAGCAATGTTGTGTTGCAATATCCGAAAACATGTTGGCCAAATGCATTGAATAGTCACGAATGTGTGTGCGAGTACCCACCGCACTCACTCACTCGCGAAACGATTCGCTCTCGCACCTGCGACTACCTGTTTCGATTCTAATCAGCCCACTCACCAACTCACTCACCTGTCCACTCACTCGGCTCCCTCCCCCCAAGCAACCCCCTGCGACCATCCCATCCCCTTTAAACGACACTTGGGCCTCTCTTAAATCTCTAACAGTTTTCCCGCCACTTTCAGCACCTTGCGCTAAGCCCACCAGTTTTGCACAGCGAAAAACGTGCGCACATTGGGCTGAAACTAATGGGAAATCAAGGGTACAGAGAAATATTGTAATTGCAACTCGGGACATTTTATAATTTTCGTAGATTAATAAGATCTTAAAAGAGATTTTAACTGTTTAATAATAAGGTGCCTTAGAAATCTTTAGAAACAATAAATCTTTTATGGAGTGGTAAAAAAGTATACCGCAGCTAAATCCAAAAAATAGCTTTATATAAGTTAACCACTAGCCTATTTGATAGGCTATAAAAAGTTTCCTTTTTTAAAAACTGATTTATAATCTGACACTTCAATTTTGTTTTCTTTAAGATAGGTATTTGATTTTTCGAATATTTTTTTATAGATTTTATTTAATTGCATTTTAATCAATTGAAATTTTAAGTGTAGATGTAGTAGTGAGATTTTTATGTTATTTAGATTAGGTTCAGGCTTAGCGTTATCAGTATCAGACTTGGTTTGGGTGTATAAAAAGGTAATCAACGCTTTTGGAAACCATTATCTTAATATTTTAAATGAAAATATAAAACTAAAATTATAGTTTTTGAAATAAGACCCGAATTTTGTTTTATAATTTTGGATACACTTTCGCACCACTGTTTGCTAGTAGCAAAGTTGTTTTGTGTGGCCAGTCATCATTATTATCAACGAACATCATTATCAAGGCGAGCGTTGTTCGCGTGTTTTGGTTCTGCCCGTTGTTGTTTTTGTTAATGTTATTGTTGGTTTGTTATGTACAACGTGGGCGGGGAAATGGGAAGGCGCAGAAACCGAGCAAACAGCAGAAAAACAACCAACCTGGCTATGGCAATATTTATTGTATTACGTCTATTTAGCATAAACATATCAGCATGAGTGTTTCGACGTGTGTTTGTACTTATTCTTTGAGAAATGTTCATGTTTATATATTAGCAACGGGGTACAAAAAAAAGTACAGCTACCGCCTGAGCAACGTACAGAAACAAGCAGCAATCGAAACACACAGAAACCGAAACAGCAACAGCCAAACACAAAAAACCCAACCAAAAACAAAAACAAAAAAAAAGAATATATTTCTAAAGCTAACAAAACACACAGAAAACTTGCAGAAATCCCCGGCGCGCTCTTTGTTTCCCCTTCCTACAAATATACATATATTGTATATTGCTCCGTGGCCCAATGACAGCAACAGCAACAAAAGCAATAACTTTGTTAGATAGAGCAACAGCAACACCAAGACCAAAAACAACAACAACAGCAGCAGCAAAAACAACAACAATAGACCGACCAATACACAGACAATCGCATACAAGGAAACAATATGGCATATAGAATTTTTCTTGCTGCTGCTTATCGGGGTATTATTGTTGCTGTTGTTCTAACTTGTGATGTTGTGCGTAGAAGATTGCTTTACCTTTTGGTTTTTTTGTTTGTTGAATTATCAGGAGTGTTGATTTTGAAAGCTCCTGGCAGTTAGAGGATTTCAAAACGTTCCTTGTTCGCAACGATTTCAAAACTCGACACACAACCGCGCACAAATAAAACGGCGCCAAAAATATTTTTTGTTGCTGCTGCAACGACACCGACAGCAGCAACAACACGAGCTACAGCAGCAACACTGACGTAACGTTCAAAAATGTTGAATTCGAAATTCGTGGTCGCCGATGCACGGTGCTCGGGAATTGGCGGCGGACTGTTGGATTGTTGGCGATGTCGTATGTTTCGCGTTCCAAGCGACGAAGGCGACTAAACACACAGAGATACAGGCACAGACACAGCCACAAATGTGACTGCCAGCCAGCAGAAACGAGAGCGAGCGGTGCACACAGAAAGAAAAACTTGTGTTACAAACGCATTATTTTCATAAAATTATTGTTTACAATATCAAAATAATATTTATTAATCATACGATTTTATAATTACATAATACAATATTTAACCAGCTAAGAGAATAAAATGAGTTGACATTTACTTTTAAACCAGATAGTATATATCAGCATGTAAGACAAACTAGTTTTATTGACAATAGCGAGTACAAAAAAAAAAATAATCAAATGTAAATATTTATTTGACTTGGTAATATCAATTCCGTAACAAGCTAAATTTTTTCTTGTGTAGCAAGTATCTATCGGCAACGTAGAACACTGAAGCAACAACAAGACACGAGCGGACGGCGAGCAAACCGAGAACAACGCACAAAACCCCGCTCTTCACCGCTCACACAGATAATCACACAGACACACACCAGCCCGACAATACAAACACACCCAGCTGGCGTTGAGCAGCAGGCAACTTTTTATTGTTGTTGCTGCCAACGAACAACAAATCCCTGCAGTTCCGAAATTCATCACTACAAAAATTCATCACTGTTTAATCAGCAGCGGACTGCGACGCCGGCAGAGCCAAAGGCAAAGTCGGCAGAGCCGAGAGCGACGCAGGCAGAGCCGAAACTCTCAGTCCCCGATCGTAGGCAACGCATAAAAATTTCCATCTCCCTCTCTTACTCCTTCTCTCTCCCCATAAAATGAGCTGAGAGGTGGAGGACAATGTATTAAAATCAGATCGACCTTTATACACCCTTGAAAATAAATTAGCATAATTTTTGTATTGTAGTTGTTGATTCTTATTAATTATATTATTTTATGGAAATACTTTTTAAAAATAAAATTATTATGATAGTTTTGAAAGGTATGGATTCCTTTTTTAAGTGAATTTAAGTTATGTGATTATTTTGCATAGTCGGACATGCTTTTATATACCCTGCTTTGACGCGAAGCGAAACATGTAAAGACAAATTAGGCAACGGAAAGAACAACAACTGAAGTTGTTTTCGCGGTTTTTACGTGCACTTGCATTTGAGAGAACGGAGAAAACAGATCGAAGCAGAGATTTTTTGTGAAATTTTATAACTAAATTTATCAGAAATTTATGTAAGTGTTATTTTATTAATTATTTTGAACTGTACCTACATATACTGTTAATATATTTATTCATTATTTAAGGCGAAGCTTATAATAAATCTGTTGGGCCAGCATAAACTAAGCTGGACTTGGCCGGCGGCAAAACAAAAAACGCAGTAAGTTTTTATTTTTTTAATAATTTTTCTATTTCAGATATACTTGGTCAGGAAGAGCCAGTACATAAAGCACGAAGTCAAAAAAAGGGCACGGAAACCGAAACATCCTCAACACCTCCGGGACAACTGAAAACGTACATATGTAGATTGAATTAAGTTAAATTAATTAGTTATATGTAATGAAATAAATGAAATAATAATGAAATATTGTAATAAAATAAAAAATGAAATTTATATGAAAATTTACTGAATGAATTTTACTGATGAAAAAAAAGCGATGAAAAAGCGATGAAAATGCGATGAAAATGAGATGAAAAAGCGATGAATTACTGAGTAAAGAGTGATGAATTACTGATGAAAATGTGATGAATTCATCACTCTTTAATCAGTAATTCATCACTCGTTAATCACTATTTCATCGCATTTTAATCACTCGTTCATCGCATGTTCATCAGTAAACGCTGTTCAAAGAGTGATGAATTACTGATTAAAGAGTGATGAAAAACTGAAAAAAGAGTGATGAATTACTGATTAAAGAGTGATGAAAAACTGAAAAAAGAGTGATGAATTACTGATTAAAGAGTGATGAAAAACTGAAAAAAGAGTGATGAATTACTGATTAAAGAGTGATGAATTTTTCACTGATTAACTCCTAGGACATGCCAATGTTAAATTCATCACTAATTTGTATGAAGTTTCATCGCCGATTAATCAGCAGTGATGAATTTTTGGTGATGAAAAAGCGATTAAAAGGTGATGAACGGTACTGCAGGGATAATACAAACAATGCACACACACATTCGCCGAGTGTTTTTGAGCCAGAGAAACGGCAACTGCGCGGTACAAAATGCAAAGATACAGATGCAAAAGGGGGAGGGGGAGGGAAACGGCACAGGCCAACAAAAATTGTTGCACTGTGACCCGAAATATTGCCTGTCGTAGGCAGCAAAGTCACTACGAAAGGATCATGCAGAGGATCTTTTAAGGATACCGCAATACTTACTTTAACGTCTATGATTTGAAATCCATTATTTTCGTAAACAATATTAAATATTGTCCGTAACTTTCATAAAAGTCCTTAATTTTAAAATCAACTACTTCCCGGTTTTACTTCGTCTTCTCTATTAAACAGTATTGCCAAATTGTGAAATAATTTATTAATAAAATTTTTGCAATAATGATGCAAATTTACATCAAGATTAGCGTCTAAATAAAGGCGTACCTCTAAAATCACCTGTCTTCCTATAGAACCAAACCTTATCTGTTCCAGAATTGTTATCATGGACTTCAGAAAGAGGGTTCCAATCGTTATTAGAAGTAATTGTAATCAAAATGAACTGCAATTTTTAAGCCTACAAAACAAAAACCATTTTCTTTTAAAGAAAATTTTGTATGAAGTTTTATCAAATATTTTAATAAAAATTAAATTAAGGGAGTTGTTTGTAATGTCCAAACCATTATTGCGTTGCTTGATTTGGAGGTGTTTTGAGTATTTGAGTCGTTGATGAAACTTTTGAAAAAATCTTATCACTGCTCACTGATAAAGTTGCTAAATCATTTTTGTGTTTAAAATGTAATACAAATTTGCGAAGAAGTTTCGTATTTATACACAGCTATTCTCTTTTTACCCTGTAATCACCGCAAAAAAAAACAAAGCAGCAACGAACCCAAACTAATTTACCTGGAAAGGTACCTGCGAAATCCCTGTGATCTTCGTTCCAGTGTGCGCCAGATAACTCTTCTTCTTCTTTGCTCTAACTCTCAGGAAACATTGAAACAACAACAGTTGCTTACTCAGACCCATACACACGCGCACTCCTGCTCTCACGGACACAACAACAGCTGCCGCTCTCAGAACCAACAACACAGCGAGCAAACAAAAATAATTTGTTGTTGCACCAAAAGCACCGCCACCGTCGCACAGTGGCGCAATTTAAGTTTTTATTTGGAAAAATTAAATCTTGTTAATCAAAAGAGATAGATTTAAAAAAAAAATCTATTTGATCAAACTTATTGTCAGTCAAAACATAAGAGACGTCATAATAAAAACATTTATTTTAAGAATATTAATGTTTCAGTAGTATTAAATTTCCATGCACACCATACAACTTCTGGAGTTGTGTCTTTTTTAATATATTCAAATGGGGTTCCTGAACATTTTTAAGGATTGATTGATTTTTGTTAAGCTGATTTGGCCTGCTGTTTATTGTATTTGCTGATGATTTGATTTCAAACAAGCTTTCCAATCAAATTTGTTTACGTTTTAAATTTAATACGATAGGATAGAAGAGCTTTGCCCATATGTTGAAAACGAACATTTGAAATTGATTCGATGGTTGAAAACTAGATGGCGCGAGCTACTTCCGGTACATATTTCTTAACGGTTTTTTTACTGAATCGAATTAAGGGATTTGAATTTGAAGTTGAAAATATTTAATTCCCAAAATATTAACCAGTAACCTAACAATAATACCAAATAATGTTATTGGCAACAACAAAATTTAATCGATTTTAATTTGTATAAAATGTAATCATTTGAAATGTAAATAAGAGAGCAATTAACTCATTCAAATTCAGATAAGCAAAATAAACTGGTAGTAAATATAAATTTTAATTTTGTGACATTATTATTTAAGGCTTTTTAAAGTCATCAAAAATATATTTGCACTTATTACAATCAAAGATGAATAATTTCCCCAGACAGTTCTTTGATAAAACTTATTACTTTGGCTCTAACGGTCAGCCAAAATGGGATTATTCAAACACTCGCTAGTTTGATTCATGTTGGTAAAAAGCTCTTCGAAGCTCAAAACGAACCCCAAAAGGACCTAACTAACTGTTCGCTGGCAGGGAACGTTCCACCCGACAGCCGACCACCACCCCAGTTATTTCCAGCCTTTAATGATTTGTTTACAACTTTGTTGCCCTGCAATTTACCGCTAGCATACGGACCTGCCAGCCCAGCTTTCCACCCCTTTCCGCCCGCCTGGAAAAGCTTTTCTCGGCGGGCAGAGGATGTCGTGTGTCCTGCGTGTGCTCAAAAATTCAATAAAAAGGAGGCTCGTTTCTGTTGTGGCCTACATGCCAGCCGAGCATTCGGTTCAACAGCCGAGTGCGAGCCGAGGAAAAGTTGGTCAACGGGTGGAAAAGTGGGAGAAAGTGGGAAAATGTGTGTGTGAGGGGGGAGGGGAAGAAAAGGGGGCATCAAACGAGGAGCAAGGAGAGAGCTTCCAAGTGCAGTCGAGCTCAGTTGCCACAGGACAGTCGAGGCGAGTGCTCGTCCTTGGTCGCAACGGGCTCCCGGAAAAGCGGTCCTTCGACCTCCGAGTGTCAGGATTGTTTTGGTTACGCGACTGCCACAGTGTTGGTGTTGGTGAACAAACGTGTGTGTGCTTAAAAATATATTCGCCATGAATTATTTACCCAAAACGAGAGCTCGAAAGTTTTGAACAGTGCGACGCAAACGGCGACGACGGAGTTGAGTCAGCGGAAAGTTTCCACTCGAGCACATTGACGGACAATTTGCAGCGGCATCAAGGATGCAGCCTCCTCGCTGGGATGTGGAATGCATTTTCCGAAGCGCAGTATGTGACTCTGTCCCGCTCTCTTTTCAGCGCAAAACCCCGCATTTTCCCACTACCTGCCACCTCAGCTCGCTCTCCATTGTTTTCCCAGCGAGCGTGTAGAGTTTCGATTTCGTTAGAAAATCGAAATGAAAGCGGGCCAGGACTTGAGGACTGTGGGTGTCGTTGCTGCGGCTACCTGTAGATGCCACATAAACACACGGATACGCGATACTGGGCGAGTGTGTGCGAGTGGCTGGCGAGTCCTTGAACGGGGCTTTCGGTCGCCCACCCGCATCCACATCCACCTCCACATCCGTATCCGTGTCCATGGCTGCCTCTCTCTGCCCGCTTCCGACTCTAATTAATTTATAATTCAAGGTCCAATGCGCTGCCACTGAAGGTTAAACATGACGAACTAGCGATTTTCGGATCGGTTTTAGTATGAAACTTTTTAACTGTTTGCTGGCAGCTGTAATTGAGGGATTTCCGCGGAAGCTGCACAAAACTTTTCTCAAGAATCGACAGTAGTGAAGTTTTTTTTGCTGGGATGAGGAGGAGGGATAGTACTCGGAAATCGTGTAATCCGATAAAGTGGAAAGTTAACCAGGGATCATCTTGTAGTTAAGCGCACACAAGCTGTTATTTAATTTGGCTGCCAGCTCCCCAGAGACTCGTCGGCAATTAGGGCTAACTAAACAATAAACCTCTGGCCAAACACTTGACGCTCTAGAGTGGAAAACCCGCATTACGCATACGCCACATGGGCAGTCTGGCAACTTCGAGGTGCGACCGTGGAAGAGGTGAAGGAGTGTGGGGCCGGAAAAGCTCTTCACCGCTGACCACTGGCGGTGCCATCGTAATCCTCTCACCTCTCGACCAAAATCCCCAAATCGCCCCAAAAAATGCAGCGGAGAGCGGCGGCCGTCTTGCTTTTTTTTCGGTTCTTTCGCCGAAAAACATTTTCATTTCTCGCCTGAGTAGAAATTTCAATGATTTCCCTTGCTCAGTGTGAAACGAACCAACAACTCAAACGAAACGAACGCGAGCGCGCGCGAGAAATACAAACTAGAATAGAATAGAACAAATTAACCTCTCCCCCCCAACAAAAAAAACACGAAGCGCTGAGGACGGGGGCCCTAACCCATCCTAACTATAAACAATAATCGAATCAACGAAATTTAAATTAATTGCGAATGAGTAATACCTGAGCGATTTATTAATCTGACCGATTTATTGCACCACCGCGGCAGAAGCTGAGCGAGCAACAAAGAATCCACAAGTAGCTGGCATACGGAAAGATAAATAACTGCACAGATAATTGCTAGTCCTCGGTACTGGCCTCTAAAAATAACCCGCAAATATAAACGGAGACAATTGCAGGGCACTGGTGCACAGTGGAAGAACCGCGAGGATCTGTGAGTAGAACTAACACCCCCCTATCCCGATCGCCTGGTTGGAAAAAAATCGAAATAACAAACTTCAGTCACCTCGTCGCGGTCTGCGTCACACACTCGGAAACTCAGATACTTAGATAGTCAGATACCCAGACCCGCGGAATGAGAGTCGTGTGGCATAAGTCCTTGCCTTCTCCATCCTCGCACTTACAGTAAAGCTTCATCAACTCGACTCCCTGTCCTTATAACCGAAATAAAAATACTATTGTTATTATTTTATTTCACGATTGGATTTAAGATATTTTCATATTTTAATTTGCTATTTATAAAAATATTTTATTAAACAAAAACATCAGAGGAAAGGCTAGCAATGAAGGTCTCACGATCCCTTACTATTCACTCAATTAATAAGGGGACTTACCGAAATATATTCCAAATAAAGTTTATTTTTTTGAAAGATGTACAAATATATTTTGAGCATTTATATATACCTCAATTTAAGAACACACAAAGAAAACATAATTTATATTATTATATTTTAATATTAATCGATTTATTAAAGTAATGTCAATGTATAATTATGTTTAATTGTTCTTATAAATGCAGATATTTGTTCAATATAATTGAAATGTATGCTTGAATAATTATCATACAAGATAGGAAAATGTAATAAAAGAAGACAAATTAGTTTTAAAAGTCTCCTTATGGGCAGACAACTTTTAGCTGAGTACAAGTTCCACTGTGTTTGTCATTTGCCGTGTTGTTACTGCTGGTACTGGTACCACACGGCGTATGGGGAATGGCGACCGGCGGATGGATGAGTGGTGCACACTTTTTATAGCCAGCAACAGTCACACAAGCCGCACAATCAAGCGCTCGTCTCGGTGTTTATGTCAATTTGAATTTTGCATGCGGCCACTAAACTTGAATGTGCTGATGTGTCCTTTGTGCCGATGTTGTTGTTTTTGTCCTTAGTAAGGCGGAGGGGGTGGGGATACCGGAAGCCAGGGCAAACTGCGCTTCATTGCAAGTTTGTGGGTTGGGTTTTCGGGGAAGAGTGGGCAGAGCACTTGCCGGGCGGAAACGGATATCCCGTGTGCTCTTTGCCTAGTTCGCCTTCGCCGCCAAGCGCGTATCCTGTTTGTCATTTCATCAGCCTCGTCCTAGCTCCTCCAGCTCTCCTTCTGCTGTCCTTGCATTTGCTGCACAGGAAATTTTAAATTGAATGTGCACCCCCCGTTTGTCTGTATGCTGCTTCTTTGGGTTTGTTGTTTGCTCTGCTTTCTGGATGTGCCCTGCTTTTTTCTCTGATTTTCCATCCTGTTGGCCACTGGGCCAGATTTGTAGGTTCAAAGAAGTAACCGGAGGCGGAGTAATAAAGAAAATAGAAAAACATTGGGATGGAAACTGTTGACTTGTACTTGTTTATCCGGAAATTCATATGTACTCTATAAAGCCATAATTGATTAACAACACAAAGTGTTTACTATATGATTTAATCAAATATAAAGAACAACTAATTGGTATGTTATTATCTAGACCTATTCGAGTTTCGACATATATTTGTTCTAGCATAATATATTAAATTACAAAATCAAGGCAATGATTAGCCATACATCTACTGACACTTATTACACTTTTAATTCGCTAAATACGTTTAATCTGTAAAGTACAAAAGCCCTCTTAAGGGTAACCACACTTTAAAAATTAAACAAATTCAATCCCTCTCTTTTATAGCTATGTATTAGATTATAAAAAAGGGTTTGGGAACGCCCTTTTTGATCAGACTTTTCTTTTTATCTAAAAATGGCTAAAGACGTGACATGGTAACTCCACGCTAACTTATAAGATTTAAAATTTAAAAAATAATAAAAAGGGAGAAGGGTTGATTATTTAAGATCTACATTGAAAATGTGGGATACGGAAGGACAACCATACCCTACCAATTTTCTATTCAGGAAGCAGCACAAAGAGGCAAGAAGTCTGTGTGGGGATTATGCCCAGAATATTCAAAGGGGCGGAGTATGGGAATTGTTTCTTCGGTTGCTGGACCACTCCTGTTGCATATCTTGTCTGCTGGCTCTACTTGCCACTGGGTGGCTCGTGTGCCCTCCCCTGCTGGGCTTAGCTGCTCTTTCTGGGCGACACAACTTGCATATTTGCCAAGATTTATGTCTGCTGTCAGCCACACGCACACTCAGTCATACAGGTCTTATGTAACAGCTCCCAGAAGCAACCTAATTTCCGTTGCTGTTGCTGGTTAAACAAATTTCAGCCTCTCATTGCACATCCGCTGGCCCCTTGTGAGTTTTCCAATCGGTGCCGCCTCACAGCAGGACTCTACTCCGTCCCGGATTCCGGATTTTAAATTCCAGATTCTAGAGAAGAGTCCGTGAATGCGCGTATCTGTGCCAAATTTTCAGGCCCAACTGGCAGGATCCACTAGTACGGTTTATGCCATCGAGTTTTAGTGTTATTGTTATGCCTAGTTGCTGTTGTAATCCTTCGGCCCTTACATCCTAAAACGCACACAGAAGTGCGTAATAGGGGCTGCTTCCCCCATAAACACTTAATGTCGATGCGATGCTGATGCCGATTGCTGCTGTCTCCCACGGCTTTGTGGCTTATCGCGGCAATCCAGAAGCACCGGGATCTAGGATAGCCCTAGCCCCACCAAATATCTATCTCACTTTCCCTGCACAGTTGAGGTTAAATTCATAGTAGCGCACATATTAAAAAAATTTCGAAATAACAAATTAGCAAATTTGTATTTATTTCTCTTGGAAAGAATATCTTAACGTTTTGATCCGTCTCGAAGGACCAAAATTTAATAATATCCAATTCAAAAGGATATGTTCTTTTTCCGTGATCTTTTTATTGATTTTACTAACAATTCAGTTGGAAAATTAGTCGGTTGTACTCAACTTTAATTTTTTTTGGAAAAATTAACATATTTCCAAACCACACCACTATTATTTTCACCAAAGCTGTAGATGCTTTCGAGTGTGAGTGCGGTCGAGCAGTTTCCTCGAGTAAGTGTGTTGGTTGACTTCAAGCAGCCTCAAGTTGCTGTCGCTCGTTGTTCTCGTTATTCTTATTATGCCAGCCAGCCACCCCCTCCCCCTCATAACTGTCATTTGCGTAAGTGTAAGTGCATATTCGTGTATGAGTGTGAAAGTGCATGTGTGTTGGCTCTCAATCCTTTTGTATTTGGCACAACAATGAAAGTTGAACAGAGAAATGGGAATGGGGAACGGAAAGGGGGAGAACGGGAGACTCGCCACATGTGTATGAATATTTCATTAAATATATCGGATTTCTAGAAGCCCCCTGCCTCCTTTGATCCGGTTTCGTCGTCAGCCAGCTGTGAAAAACCGTCAAGTCCTTACGAAGTGCCTGTACTTTGGCCTGATTTGAAGTGGAAAACTATTGAAACGCATCAACCGATTTTCTCTAATTACTGAAGTGGATTTAAAAATAACACAATTAAGAAAAGATAATCGGATTGGTATACGCAATTCCATAGAATTTACCCACAGAAAAAAAAGTTTAGCCTAGTTTACTTGAATATATATTAATATTGGGTCCTTTTGTCGGATAAGAAATTAGACCGTATTCAAAAATAATAATTTAAAATTGAAATCAAAGAAGATATGTAAATTAAATAATGGAAAAGTAAATAGTTCTAAAAGCGTTTTAAAATAGAACTTGAAAAATGTGAGTTAAATTAGGGTGATTATTTTGAATGACCTTTTAATGTATTAAGAACCTATCCAGATAAATCGCAATTTGGCAAAAAGTAATTTGACGTTAGCACAGCTCTCATTTGATTCTCATTTTTCTTACCCATCAAAGCATCGTACTTGCACTTCCCATTAGCATGCCAGTTTCCGCTCCATTTCAAATCTCCTTTGATGGGCGACGATATGTCATCAATCAAAGCTGCTCGTGATGTGCATCATTTGCCTATCAGAGTCCGACTTTCTCAACAATTTGCCACCACCTCTTCGGACCTCAGAGTCCATGTTTTGGGCTTGGACTGCCTGTGGATTGTTTTCGGCTCGAGGAAATGTTTTCAAGTTTCGATTTCCGTCATTCGTCAAACTTCCAGCGGAGGTCACAAAGAATGGGTGACTCACATAAGTATTTTTGATGCTGATTTCCGCCATCGGAGGAGCAATGGTTGCCCGTAAAACACGCAAAATGAAAACAAATTAAATGTCTACGAAATGGAGGAGATATCGTAAATAATGGAATTCAAAAACAAAAACACAAATATGCTTGGCAATCAAAACCAAATAAAAAAGAGCATTTTAAATTCATAATCTGCCAGGCAGGAAATTGAGATTGCACAGGGGATGGGAATGATGGAATGAAATTGCTTTTAGTTGGGAATTTCACCAAGATCAATGGCAATCGTTTAGGACAAATAAATCAGATTTCGCTGTCTTTACTGCCACTTTAAAAGCTAATTGCTTGAGTAAGGCATCTTAACATTTTACGATTCTTGATAGATGGATAATTTTCTTCTTAAAAAATAAACAGGTAGCAAGTACTAAAAAAGAAAGATGTATGAAGTTGTGTGAAAAGCGTATTGACCAGGTTTATGAGCAGCAGGTTGTGAAATCCACCGTATGGGATGCACTTACAGCAAATGAAAACGAAGTTTATGTCCGCCAGGCAGAGTAAGAGATACCCTAACAACCTTCCCCAAAATTTGTAAAAATGTCTTTTTCAATTATGGTCAAGGCGATAAAGTGCGTTACAAAATAAGAAAATACTTTTCAATACTAAAAGAATATTGAAAAATACAAAGCACATAAAAATGTCAAGAAAGTAGTCGTACCATTTTGTTAAAAGAAAACTGAGGACTACAAAGATCATACAAATTTGTTGACAAAATATTGAGATACTTCAAGAAAGTGTTCCCATTTTAAAATGTCGAGAAAGTAATTACTGATTCCGGAAGGGTTATTTATTTTTACAGGTTAGCAATTTGGAAAACTCATCTTATTTTGTGT